CTCTCCCCTGCCTGCTGCACACATACTCTCTCAAAATAAATAAATAAACTTAAAAAAAAAAAGTAAGTTTTAACAAGAGTAAGACAGAAAACACTTAAGCTGGTCCTGGTCTTAATGTCACACTCCTAGAAAGCCCCCCAAGGGCAGGCTGACCTGTCTCCCTCCTGGTGGTGGTGCATCAGTGCCTGGTGAAAGAGGGAAGGCGGAACTCACCCTCCGGGGCACCGGGTTTCTCACTTATTCTGATCTGTCGTTCAGGCACCACAGGCTCCCCTTCCGCATTTCCAATATCTGCAGGTAGATAGGGCAGCGACCGACGCTCCTCCTTTAATGACCTTGGGAAGTACAGAGGTAGCAGCTTTTGGTAAGTAGCCTGTGTCAGAGAAGCGAGACATTCTGTGAAAAACAACGAAGTGAGGGAGCAGGGGTCAGCAGTGCTCGTGCTGCTTGCGCCACGGTGACGACAGCCCCCGCCGAAGGCCTTACCGCTCCTGAGCTCCACTAGCACTGTTGGGGGCCCTCGATCACTTCTCATGTTAAATGTCAGGAAACTGTTAGGTGGTCAGGTTATACCTGCCTCCCATCCCGGCACCCTGAGGTCACTGAACCTGGAATGCATAAGTGCTGCCACTCCGGCCCTACTGTCATCTGCCCCGTCTTGGACTATCGTAGTTTTCTTTTACAGCCATTTTAGCTTTATCAGCTCCCCTGGGAAGTGTTCCCTAATGCTGTGCAGGCTAGAGAGCTGTGCTCCTGTCCATCCCATACCTCCATTCACACACTTATCACGATCATCAAAACTTCTCGGAACTGCCGGTCCCCACCAGTACAGTGGGGGTTCCTTGAGGACCAGGACCCTGACCTGTTCACTGGTGTATTCCCATCTAGTGTAATAAGCTTGTACGCCAGACACTCAGTGAAAGATCGCTGAAAGAACACATGAATAGGTAACCAGGTGAACTACGAAGAGACAGCAAATAAGCAAATGTGTCTCATTTCAGCAAATTCAAAAGTATTTATATATCGTGTATGTGGCTATTTACGCTGTCAGTGGATATTTCACAGGACTTAACTATTCACCACAAAACTTCTGTGATATAACTGCTATTAGTACTATTTTATCAAAGGACAGAGACATTGAGTACCTTGCCCAAGGACACAAAACTGCGAAATAATACGAGCTGGATGGGAGAGAGCACACTAAAACTAAATAAAACTTAATAAGAGTTAAAGCAAAGAACTAATTTTCTAAAATGGCTCTAAATTAGACTGAAACATATGAACCCTAACTACATACAACAAAACATAACCCTCGCAACTTAATGCCGGTCAGCAGGCCAGGCCACCGTCTGTTTCCAGGTGAGGCAGACGCCAAGGCTTTTCCAGTCACGCTGCCCAGGCACCCAGTACTTGGGTTAGAAGGTGATGCCTTGAGAAGCTGTAAGAGCTAATGCAGGGGGCAAAGCAGAACAAGTCCACCTGGTAAGATTTCATGAAGCGAAAACAGTCTTAGCAGGGAGACCCATGAACAAAATGCTCCTTTCTGATTTGTTTTTAGTTTCTAATATGGGTGTTTTTCAACAAATGATGGTAAGCCCCACAGCCAAAGACATACACAGACACGAAGGATTTACCTGCTGGCCATTCTGCAAATAGATAACGATGGGACAAAGGCAAACACAAGTAAAAATAAGATTTAAACAAGGCAACATAATTAGCAAAATACCTCTTCAAGTTCAGAGACAGCAAATACTACTTTTTCAATGGACTCCCCATGAATCTCTAGGAATCTCCTTACAGTGCCTAAGGAAGAGAATACATTATTCAGTAAATAATGACTCATGTGAAGAAAATGCAAATGAACTCTTTAGAGTTTTATTTTTGTAATGAATCACTCCTCATTTCAGTCCAGTCTCTGCTCAATGACACCTCATCAGTGAAGCCTGCCCAGACCACCATTATTAAAAAATCCTTCTCTGGGGTGCCTGGGTGACTCAGTCAGTTGAGCATCCGACTCTTGATTTCGGCTGAGGTCACGATCCCAGGGTCGTGGGATCAAGCCCCACAGTGGGCTCCGCACTTAGATTCTATCTCTCTCCCTGCCCCTCTACCCCACTTGCCCATGCTTTCTCTACAAAAAATGAAAATCCCTCTCTGATTTACTTTCTTCCAGACTAAATACAGTAGACATTTTGTGGAATTTCTTGTTTGCTTTACATCTTCTCTGTCCTCCCTGTCCCACCTGCTAGAACGAAAGTACCCCAACAACAAGAGCTTTATTTTATCTACTGCTTTATTGCCAGTGTCTAGAACAGTGCCAGGCACAAAAGATGCTGATGCCACACAACTCCCCCTTATCCAGTGTGTTTTCATTCCCTGGGCCTCTCACTCTCTGACTGGAATGATCTGGCCTAAGTGTCTTTGCATGCATTCATTCACAGTATTCAATGGCCTACTCAGCCCTGTATCTCTATCAAAGATCTCATTAAGCCAAAGGTGAATTAGTTTTTTCTTAATTTCTATGCTATTCTGATTCTTCTCTATCAACTTCCCATCAATGAAACCTAATGGCCTTTTCTCAGTCCTTACCTCACTAGAGATTTCTCTGGCTTTAGTTTTAAATGCCCATGCCCTGCCTTTTAAAAATGCTGTCCTCCAGGGTTCTGGCCTCCATCTTTATTTTCTTGGTGTGTGTGTGTGTGTATGTGTGTGTGTGTGTGTGTGTGTGTGTGTGTATTCTCTTTAGCTCACAAACTTGCTGGCTGTAAATACTAAGACTCTCAAATCTTTTTATTTTGTTTCCTGAGTATAAGAACTCAATTACCTCCCGCCTACTGGGCATATCTGCCTAGGTCACCCAGAGACCTCAAACTGGAGAGGAACAAACCTGAACTCAATCTTTCCCCCCTAAATCTGTTCCTTTACCAGTATTCTTTATTTCATCACATAGCAACATCCAATCACTTATCCAAGCTCTAATCCTGATTTTTTAAAACACTTTTTTCACTTCATCCTTCATTTAAAAAAAATTTTTTTTTAATGTTTATTTACTTTTGAGAGAGAGAGAGTGAGACAGAGTGAGAGAGTGAGAGACAGAGAGGGAGTTGGGGAGGGGCAGAAGGAGAGAGAGATGCAGAATATGAAGCAGGCTCCAGGCTCTTAGCTGTCAGCACAGAGTTTGAAGTGGGGCTCGAACTCACGGACTGCAAGATCATGACCTGAGCTGAAGTCGGACACTTTACCAACTGAACCACCCAGGTGCCCCATTCCTTCATTCTCTATTTTCAATGGGTTATCATGTCTTTTCAATTCTACTGCTGACAGAAATTTTCAAACACCCATTCCTTCTTCCTTCCAGCTGCTCTTAGGATCTTAATGCTTATGAGCCTTTGGCAATAAGCTCTTAACTGTGTGCTTTTCTCTTTTCCAGCTCTACGCACTGAGCACCGCCCGAGTTACCCTCCTTACCTTGCCACCCTCCTTACTCAATGACCCTGAGGCTCTGCACTGCTTATGGGTTAGGGTCCAAGTCCTCAGCATGGTTCCCCATACCTGGACCTCAAGTGGCAACCCCAACCCCTGCCTGTTAGTCCCTATTTCCCATCACTCCTCCCACAGACCTCAGGTTTCTGGCAAACGGGCTTCTTTGCCATACTCAGAACATTCCACTTAACTTTTATGCTTCCCTGCCTCTGCCTGCATGGCTACCTTTGACTAGATTAGAATACCGTTCATTCACCATAGCCTTCTCTTAGTGAACTCCTACTCATTTGTCAGGATCCCATCCAAAGCCAACTGGTTTCTACAGAACTCCATCCTTCCTTGTGCTCCTCTTATAACCTGAATACCTTCCATTTGGGAACTTCTCATAGCATTTTATTGCCAGACTGTGAGCTTTCTGAAGGCCAAGTATATCTTACATTAATATTACCAGAACTGAGCACATCTTAAAGATGTAGCAAGCAATCACTCAAAAGGAACTAGCCCTTTAACTCGCCCTGAATTAACATTTTATGGCTCTGGTTATCTAAGTATTGCCTGTCTTGTTTACTACTGTATCTTGAGAACAAAACAGCAGACTCATTTGCTAAAGGGCTATTCATAATTCTCCCTCTGTTAGGTGACAAATTTATTTTTCATTTCTCTATTCTGCCTCAATAGATTTTTAAAAATGAACTTTCAAAAATGGATTTTCTTCTCTTTGACATCAAGGTTTAATTGATGTTCACACATAATGGTTTCGCAGCATACAACCGCAGGATTTCTACCGGAAGACAAAACATGACGCCAGATAGTAACTAAAACCGAATTCCCTCAGCAGAATTCATTAAGAAAAGTAATTCTGCAGAATGGAGAAAAAAAAGGGGGTGATGTCATGGCTACAAGTATTTAGTACCAAGAGCCGATTCAAACCGTTTCTTCCCCAGTTCCATCTGTGCACTACCCTTTGCAGCCAACCAGGATGTCATGGACCTAACTTTTAGTGAAAACCCTTTAACTGATGCCAATGACATCTGGGGAATTAACAGTCCCAACGTGGAAACAGGGTAAGAACAAACAACGTGATCTATTTTCTCACTGCCGTCCCCTCTCCTGCATCACACAGGGCCCAGCACGCAGTCACTCCAAATTTTGTTGAATGAACAAATAACCCGATACATTTATTTCAAGGCAGATGCTTCTTTAGGCTTCTAATGGAGAACTGAGCTGCACATGAACCAAGAAGATAAAGATAAATGGTCTTCATACATCTATCAAGAGGATATTACTTAGGTTTCAAATGAAATAAGTTTTGGTAAAATTTTAAAAAGAGTTTGGTACCAAAAACTTAGAGTTAATTATTAGATTTGTTCTTGGTCTATACCTGCAAAAGCATACAGGCCATTGATTTGTTAAATGCTCAGAATGTAAGCAAGACGCACAACTGTCTATATGTATTCTTTTTAATGAAATGCTCCAGTTTTGCTATTAGATTTAAGGGGCAATAAGTCAAATAGGCCTTATAAAATATAAGTTGACTGGCCCATCTTTAAGATTTCCATTTCCTTTCTGCTAATTAAATTCTTAGGAACTGCCTCATCAATTTCCAACTATTGATCTTAAACCAACGACTGATTTTCATCTGCTTTTAGTACAATTACTGCTCAAGGTGGACATATCTAGGGCACTGTATCAAGTGATTTATCAAGCGATTTTTCTGGGACCACAGAGCTAGTGAGAGTGGTAGAACTGGGAGTCTTCCTGACTCCGTTTTCAGAGCTTTTCCTACAAAATGTTGCTGCCTTTTTAAATTCTAACCTGTAGGATTACTTTAATAAGAAACGGAGACATAAAAAGTCAGAGCTCAAGGTACGGGATGACAAGGCAAGGACTATGAGGAATCAGAGAATGGTCAGGACCTGCCAAAAGCTTTGCTAGGGAGAATTACATAAAGGCAGGAACTCTGCTTTGGTGAGGCACCGCTCAGAATACATGCAGAGTAGCGATCACGCAGTGGCTTCCCACCGGAGCAGTTATAACTCGAGCATACCTCAATTATTTAGTATAACAAACAGGTTACTGGACTTGGGGGTCCTCAGCATCCATGAGTTTCAGCAGGATAAATTTCTGAGCCTCTTTATTTGTAAAATGGACACCATAATCCCTAAAACACAAGGCTGTTGAGGAAACAAAATGGAATTTCTATATCCCTTTTAAAAATACACACTTTTTAAAAGAGCTTTTTAAAGATTTATTTAAGAGAGAGAGAGAGAGAAAATGAGTGGGAGAGGGACAGAGAGAAAGGGAGACAGAGAATCTGAAGCAGGTTCTGCACTGTCAGCACAGAGCCCGGTGCGGGGCTCGAACTCACCAACCGTGAGATCATGACCTGAGCTGAAATCAAGAGTCAGACGCTCAACCAACTGAGCCACTTAGGTTTCGCAAAATACCTATTTTTAAGCAAGTACTGTATGTAAAGCATTCTTGACCTATGAAAGCATTAGAAACGCAAAGATGAAAAGATAAGAGCTCTGCTCCTCAAGAAACTCATTTTAATATATATATGTATAAAGTATAACATACGTAACTTTACTATAAAATCCCTGAGCATCAGATCTTAGTTTTAAAAATAGTTAATTGTTAAATAAGATGATTTATGTCCTCCTCCTAAATTCTAGGCTATATATTAATTTTATACATTTGAATATCTCTACTTTTGTTGAATAGAAGACTTTCAGCTCCTTGCCTTTATTTTTTTTAATAGTTTATTGTCAAGTTGGTTCCCGTACAACACCCAGTGCTCATCCCCACAAGTGCCCTCCTCCATGCCCATCACCCCCTTCCCCTTCCCCCCACCCCCATCAGTCCTCAGTTTGTTCTCAGCATTCAAGAGTCTCTCATGGTTTGTCTCCCTCCCTCTCCCCCACTATTTTTCCCCACTTCTTCTCTCCCATAGTCCTCCATTAAGTTCCTCCTAATCCTCCTATACGTGCAAACATATGGTATCTGTCCTTCTCTGCCTGACTCATTTCGCTCAGCATAACACCCTCAAGGTCCATCCATGTTGCTACACATGGCCACATTTCATTCTTTCTCACTGCCATGTAGTATTCCATTGCATAGATAAACCACATCTTCTTGATCCGTTCGTCAGTTGACAGACACTTAGGCTCTTTCCATGTTTTGGCTATTGTCGAGTGTGCTGCTATGAACATTGGGGTACATGTGCCCCTATGCATCGGCACTCCTATGTCCCTTAGGTAAATTCCTAGCAGTGCTATTGCTGGGTCCTAGGGGAGTTCTACCGTTAAATTTTTGAAAACCTCCACACTGTTTTCCAGAGGGGGTGCACCAGTTTACATGCCCACCAACAGTGTAGGAGGGTGCCCATTTCTCCACATCCTTGCCAGCAACTAGAGTCCTTTGATTTGCTCATTTTAGCCACTCTGACTGGCGTGAGGTGGTATCTCAGTGTGGTTTTAATTTGTGTTTCCCTGATGAGGAGGGATGCTGAGCATCGTTTCATGTGTCTGCTCCTTGCCTTTAAATTCTAGAGACACAAAAGAGGCGCCTGGGTGGCTTAGTCGGTTAAGCGTCCGACTTTCACTTAGGTCATGATCTTGCGGTTCGTGGGTTCGAGCCCCGCGTCGGGCTCTGTGCTGACTGCCAGCTCGGAGCCTGGAGCCTGTTTCAGTCTGTGACTCCCTCTCTCTCCGACCCTTCCCTGCTCAAGCTGTCTCTCTCTCTCTCTCTCCTAGAAATAAATAAAAATATTAAAAAATATATTAAAAAAAATAAATTCTAGAGACACAAATGGTTCTTAAAGATCATTTAATACAGCTTTCTTCCTCAATGAGGAATATCTGCAACAGTCACTTAGCCTCTGCATGAACGCTCCCAGTGACAAGAAGTTAACTTAAAATACCCGCCTATTACAGCGAGTCCTATCTCAAATGGAACCAAATCTCCTTCCTTCTGACATAGTCTTAGACCTGTCCTCTGCTGCTGGTCTTACCTACAATCCTTACAAGAATCTACGAACTTCCTGATATCGGATGCAAATTCCCTATGTATGTACATCCTCTGGTGAAAGGGGTCCACAGCTTTCTTCCATCAGATGCTCAGGGTAGTTTACGATGGCTCCCAAGGTGGTTCGGAACCACTGCTCTAAAAACGCAGCACAGAGTCAGTTCACGAGGCTCCTTCAGACATCGAAGAGGAGCCCCGTCTATGCTAAAAGCATGGCCTCTTTAGGAGAAGCACCACGAATGTTTCAAACTGCTCGCTCTCCGGTTTGTCAGTGGAGACAAAGGACAGGACAGAACCATCCACAAGAGTCTAGATGCATATATATGGCGAGATCATGGAAGCTCTCCAGCTGAACACTGATACATTTTCATACCACATATGTGACATTCTGTCTCATGATGATCAAGCCCAGTCATTTTTAAACCTTAATGCAAGGATTTGTATTCAAATGACACATGTGAAAGCTGCTGTTTCAACTGCAAAGTGCGACATAAACATATTATGAAATCTGTTTTGACACTGTTGTTGCAATCTGTTAAGAATATTCTGAATCATGATGCAAAAACCCAATGCGTTGACCACACTGCTTAGCCTGCGATCATTTTCAAGTGCCATGAGCAAGTCTGCGAGCCTTCATTTAAGTGGAGAAAAAGGTCAGCCTGAGAGTAAACTGAGCTGAGTGACTTATGAATACAAAGCTCCCTCAGGATGCCATGATTTCTTAATCAACAAATCTTCTTTGGCTGTAACTATCTAATGAGCGACAATAGAAAACTCTGTAGGGCTCAGTTTATGTACAGCACCCCGATCCCACTTACAAAGTCCTCAACATGCACGCGGCGTCTTCCGTGTTACTTACGAAGCGCTATGTGTGTTGCGTCCTCTAAAGGGTAACCTCGTTTTGCAGAATTGATGACACAGAACCCCACGGAAGACACTGACTGCTCTCTGCAGAGAGAAAACACAAAGCACCAACATTCCCAAAACATACGTTCATAGTTCACTTAAAAACGCAGCTCAACTTCTACCTCCCTACCCCCCCCAACAGATCTAATGTAACAGTTAACCCAATTACACTAGTTAACGATTATATTAATATTATAACTGTATCATTTGGGGGAAATGGGGTTCAAATAAAGACAGAGTACAACGGGAACAGGTTAAATTCTTAAGTCACCCAAATCCATGCCTTTCATCCTGCTAAGTGTGCGAAGATGATTAATTTTATCTTCAGAATCCTCTTACGTGATTTAAATCCCTCACTATTTGACTTCCACATCTCGGTTTCGCTCTGAAACCGGGGCCTTAACAGTGCGCGGCGCAGCCCACTGGGGAAGAAGCCGTACTTGGCCAGCTGGAGCACGTTTCTGTAGCAGCTGTACAGGGAGCTCTCGGCAGCTGTGCGGTAGCGGCTCTTGTATTTGGGTCCCACTGTGTGAATGATGAACCGGGCAGCTAGATTAAACCCTTTCGTCAGTTTCGCTTCGCCTGTCCGGCAACCTGGGAACAAGGGAGCAGGCTTAAGTGATGAAGGTGTTGGGGGGCGGGGGGGGAGTGGAAGACTCAACAAAATAAGGCATAAAATAGAAAAGCAGTAAGAACTTTGAGAAACTTCAATTAAAAATATGGACTGAACATGAACACTGATCTCTGTTCTCAAAAGGATGGTGAAGCAATACAGTAGGTATAAAAACAGAGACGAAGAGAATGGGAGAGAACATGAAGCAGCTGAGCATCATGAAAATTCTGGAAGGCAGAAAGTCAGTGGCCCAGAAATAACAGATTCTGCAAGCAGAGAAAGCGAGCTGCTCACAGAAAAGAGGTCACCAACAGGAAGCAAGCTGGCCGTCCAGAAGGGCAGTGCTGGATTCAAGCCAGACTGCTTTGAGTCAAATCCAGAGTCTAACGCTTTCCTGCTGTGCTGCCTGGGCAGTAGCCTGGCCTCTCCAGGCCTCAATGTCCAATTTAGTGGGAAGGCTACCGGTGCTCGCTTCATAGGATTAAATTAGTGAATACACGCAGAGTGCACACGTGCATGGCCTACCATTCTCCCTACAGAACACTAGGGAGGCTCAAGACCTGGAGGCGTATGTACTTCTAAAGGCTATGATGTAAAGTGGGACCTGGCAGAGGAGGCTGAGTTAAGTTTGCATAAAGACAGTCAAGTCTGCACCAACACCTTCCCCGGCCAGCACGGCAAGGGGGTGATTTCTTTACCACCATAGCAGCAGAACGTTCACTCTCTGGAGTCGCTGAACCAGAGAGTTTCTGGACCGCACGACCCCAGGCACAGCTGAGAAGAGGGGATTTAGGGACACTGTTATACTCTACGCTCCTAACTGGCATCTAAAACACAGATGCCCACGCTTACACCCCTTCCAGGAAACCGAGAGGCCCAAACCAAAGGACTCACAGATTGTGACCACTAAGGTTCCCCAACACAACCAAGGGCTCCTCCCACTCGTCATCTGCGGCTAGACCTGCCAAGCAGTAACTCTTGCCCGTGCATACAAAGCTTCCCTTCACCTTCTCAGTTCCTCCCTCGTACGTACAGCTGCCACTCAAGGATCTCCAGGAAGTGAGTGAAGCCTTTGACCAAAGGGGAGGGTCAAAACAATGCTCAAAAGAGAGAATCCAACTCCCAACACCAGCATGACTACTGTCAGACAGATAAGAGGAGATACAGTACCTCAGAAACAAAACCAGAATATTAAAAAAAAAAAAAAAAAAAAGAACTATTCAGAGAACACGGGAAAAAACGGTTTCTGTAACTGTTACAGCCAAGTGAAAAATGTGATAGCAAGAATGAAAAGCTCAAGAGATACACTAAAGCTAAAGTTAAGGAAAGCTTCCAGAAAATAAAAAGCTAGAAAATAAGATGTGAAAATTGGAGGATTAAACAAGGACATAAAAAATCCAAAAGACTTTCTTCAAAGAGAGAACAGAGAATACAGAGGGAGGGAAGTTAGGAAAGAAACAAATTTTCCAGAACTGAGAGATAAGGGTTTCTAGTCCACAGGATATCCAAGCTAATCAAGGTGGAAACTATGAAACTGAGAATACCAGAAATAAGATGAGATCATAAAGTGTTTAGAGAAAAATACATTAGCACACAAAGAATAGCCTCTGATTTTTCAAGAGCAATAATAAAAATAGAAAACGGAGCAGTGCCTTCAAAACCTGGAAAAATGATTACTAACTTAGAATTTCATTTTCAACCGAACTTCCAATTAAGTATGAAGGTGGAAGGTCTCAGTAATCTTGCCCCATCCATCCTTCTCTGAAATCTCCTGGTGGATTTATTCACAAAAATGAAGGAGTACATCCAAGAAGAGAAAGGTAGGAGAGATCAGAAAATGGGAGGGCTCACTAAATAGAAAAAAGGACTTCCCAGGATAAGACCTATACAGCAGGCATAGAGAACAATCTAGAGACGAAAGAGGATGGTGGATTTCAGGAGAGACCTTATCGAAACAAAAATTGAGTTGAAAGATAACCAGAAGTTTTTGACTTTATTGAGAGGTCTATAGTTGTATTTAAAAGTTTGAGATTGAATCAGTGATAAGTTAGAAGATTAAATAAAAGTCAAATCAACTCAGAGGAAAATAGCTATACAAAAAAAGTTCAAATCTGTTTCGTAATAAGCAGTGAGGAATATTTATACAGTCACAATGTTAATGCTGAATGTTGATTTAATAAAAATTTGACAGACCAATTGGAGATGGGGGTGAAGGGGAAAGAAAATGTGACTATTTTTTGTATAGTTAAAAGAAGGGAGTGGATGAATAAGCGTTTAATCTTTAATTTCCACAACAGGAAGTCAACAGATAATGAAAAACATCAATACAATAGTTATAGCATGTTATTTGCAAAGAGAAGGTAAATAAACTAAGGAAGTTAAAGACTTGAAAGTACATGCCCCTAAAGGAAGAGAAGGGAAAGGCAAAGAACAGTTGCTTTCCTTTATACATTTCAATGTAAGATCCTTTGGCTTTTAAAACCACATATACATTGATCAATGAAAAGCCATAAGCACAGATACTCAAAACAGAGAAAGGGGCAAAACATCATTTGGCACCATCTGAGGCAGCTATCAAACCAATTCTTAGCTTGCAAAACGGTAATTAAAAGAATTAAGAATTTATGCTGCCCTGTAATAGAAACTAAAATTCAGAGTAACCACAGGTCAGTTATTGGGGAAAGGCTCTACTTTAGAGGAATGTCAGCTAGGAACCATGGATATATTGACAGGTTTTAGAAAAACACAACTTCACAATCGTTTTGTTTTGTTTTGTTTTGAGAGAGCACAAGTGGGGAAGGGGCAGAGAGAGAGAGGGGCGCGGGGAGCAACAGAGGATCCGAAGCAGGCTCCATGTTGATAGGCTGACAGCAGCAAGGCCAATGTGGGGCTTGAACCCACAAATCATGAGATCACGACCTGAAGTCAGACATTCAACCAACTGAGCCACCCAGGCGCCCCTACAACTTCACCATCTTAATGAAATGACTGACTCAGACAAGAACTATTAATTGTTGCTAAAAAGCACTGTGAATGTATGACAGTCCTGGGCATTCACAGAACTTAAATAACCCCATATTGACTACAAAGGGCAAAACAACTGTACAAATGGAAGAATCAAGCTGTCATCACTCTAAGTCAGAGAGCCATCTTAGTGTCAGTGATGGTCCACTAATGGGTCAATCAGAATTGTTACATCTCCCAATATGATACACTAAGTACATAGTACAATATCACCTAGGAAATCCTTTAGCCAAACCTGATTCAATTAGATACAACTTTCAGGTTATAGAAATACAAGGGAGATAGCGATAGGCCAAATGGCACCTCTAGGTAATCAGATAAATCCAGAAGGTGGGCCGTCTTGGAAGACTTGTTGGCCTACTTCACTCAACACGTCATAAGAAGGGAACTGAGTTAGACGTAAAAAAATTCTCTAAAGGTATGACATTAGATATAATGTGTGACTCTGGACTGGATATTGCTTTGGGTAAACTAGCTGCAAAGGGTGTTTCTGGGTCAACTGGAAATTTAAAACTATGGTTTGGGTGTTAGATGAACTAATTTCTGAAGCCAAAAGGTGGAATTCATTTGCTGAAGCAAGCAGCCTGCAGAACAGTATGTGTGCAATTATCTTATGATATGTACTGTATACACACAACTATTTTTTTTTTGGTAATAAAATATTTAAGAATGTATGCATATACCCACATCACATGAAGATCCAGAAGAATTATGCTCTATAGTACTAGTGCTGGTGATCTCTGTGTGCTTAAAATGTTTAATTTTTATTTATTTTGTAGCTTGTGTGCATATACTTTCTACAATTTACATTTACTGCTTCTATAACTGGAAAGCAATTATTTGAAAGAAATTATATATATAAAAAAATAAAGCAAGTAAGCAAATATGCATTTGGGCAGTCAGTTTGCAGAATCAGTCCTGAAGATCTCTGAAGACAGACTTTAGAAACAGAAAAGGATTTTAAGTGCTCAGGATACTTTGGTTTTGGGAATCCCACCTTTCCCTGAAAAATTGTGACCTAAACCTCAGAGCTCTGGAGACTAGACTCATGCCGATAAGCCACTGTTCCTAACCTTCTACTTGTTCTTTCTAGCCCAGATTTCTTCTAATCCAAAGCCTAAATCCTGACATCATTATGAACAGTTAAAACACACTCCTGAAGGTATTTTTAATTCCTGCAAAACATATACAAGTTTACTGACTAAGTTCAAGTTCACTCTAGCCGTAACTCGGCCCAGCATGTCTTTTACCCCTCTGGCTAAGGAGGATTGCTACAACGAGAATCTGAATATCTGAGTATTAAAGATGAGTCAGGACTTTTCAACTTCACTTGCTTCTCTCTAAATCCTAACACCCACAGTAAGAAACACAAAAGGTGGCTTCACGCGTAAAGCAAAGGGTCCTATTCCTAACAGAACAGTAAAAAAAAAAAAATGCAGTGCGTGCACTCCCATCCTAGCAAACCTGCACATGTAAGTCCCAAGGAAAAGAACATTTAAGTAGCAAAACTACACCATGACCCTGACTGCAGGAGAGAGTATTTTCCTCCTCCTTCTACACATGGAAATAGGTAAGCTCTATAGTGGAGAATGTTCTATGTGTGCCTGAGAAAAAAGTGCATTCTGGTGCTGCTAGATGGAATGTTCTGCATAAGCCTATCACGTTCATTGGGCCCATAGTGTAATTCAGGCCTGCTGTGGGCTTGCTAATTTTGTCTGGATGATCTATCCAGGGTTGAAAGTGGTGTACTGTGGTCTCCGACTATCACTATACTCCTGTTTCTCCATTCAGGTCTATTAATATTTGCCTTAAGCACTTAAGTGCTTCTATGTTGGGTGCATGCATACTTACAACCGCTACATCCCTCTGATGAACTGACCCCTTTTCATCATATAGTGACCTTTTCAGTCTCTTGTGACCAATTCTGATTGGAAGTCTATTTTCTCTGGCAGGAGTACAGCCCCTCCTGCTCTCTTTTGGTTTCCATTTGCACAGACTATCTTTTACCTTCACTTTCAGCCTGTGTGTGTCATTAAAGCTGCAATGAGTCTCTTGTAGACACTATATTGCTGGATCTTGTTTTTTTGTCCACCAACCACCCTGTGTCTTTTGATTGGAGATCTTAGTCCCTTGATGCTTAAAGGAATTGCTGCTGGGTAAGGAATTACTATTGCCATCTTGTGACTTATTCTTCTTACTGGTATGCTTTAATTCTGTTCTCTTCAGTGGATCTATTAGAGGTTTTCTCCTTCATGAATACCAGGAGGCTTCCGTAGAACATCTTAGAGATACACCAGTCTATCTTAAGCTGTTAACAAGTTATCCCCCTCTAAGACATTATACTTCTAGTGATATAGTCTCATACTGTTAGTATTTAAAAAAAAAAAAATTAGACATTATCACTGCTGAGTCTAGTTAATTAAAATCCCAGGGAATTTGCAGTCTTTCATCTGCTCCTTAAAGGATGCCCTGGTACAGGGCACACGGAGACCACTAATCATACAGTTCCTGTCCTCAGGGAGTTCCAAGTTTAATGTGAACCCGTCACCGTGTAAACAATTTATGAAATTACAGCTGTGAGAAGAACACAAAAGAGAAGTATGCTGAGAACATATACCATGGGGAGACTGGTGAATTCTGAAGTAAATACGAGGAAGAGATATAAGCAAAGACTTAAGGAGAATTAAGAACTGAAAAAGCAAAGTACATGTCAAAGTGAACAGGAGCTAAACGATTGGTTTGGTTCAAGCATGGTAAGAGAGGGATGAGAGAACACGGAAGGAGCCAGGAGGCAAGGGCCTGAGATCTGGCAAGGCCTCAGACACTAGCTTGAGGAGCTTGCATTTTAAGTGTAACGGGAGGCCGCTACACGGTGCAAAGCTGGGAAGCAGTAAGAAGGGATTCACAATTTAAAAAGCAAATGCTTACTGTATGTGGAAAACAGATTTAGGTAAAGAAGAATGGATGTAGGGAGACCAATGGCAGGGGAAGCTTCAGTCGCGTCCAGTCAGGGGATGGTGGGAAGACAGGCCAGGGTGGGGGCGGTAGTGATAAAGAGACTCAAGACAGATCTATGGCTTGATGAGAGCCCTCACACGGGGACAGTGAGGAGAAAGGGTTAACCCTAAAGTTTCCTGCATGGAAAATGGGAGAGAATGATGATGCCGCTTAACTGATAGCAAATGCTCTCTTACACAGTAAGGATTGTCAAACAGGGCTTTCCCGTCCTGAATTTGGATAATTAAGGTTTTAAACTTAGTGCAAGACTTTTATATTCACCCAGTCAATGTTTTCATTTTTTGGCTCACAGTTCCAGTTGGCTCAGAATATTTAAAATTCTTTGGTCACCCAACATCTCCTATTAACTCCTCTCGGCTTTCTATCATCTACAAATCGGGGGAGTCATGCTTTGTAATCAGTTATGAAGCTGTTACTGAAAATGTAAAAAGGGGAGAGGATTAAGTACCCAGCCTGCAAGGCATCATTAATCATCTTTCCTCAGGTCCGCAGCGACTCATCGAACAAATGAGGGCTGCAGCTAACACCAGCAGTAACACTCAACACTTAGAATGTGCTTAGAACTTAATGTGTATTATTTCATTCACTTTTCATGATATTGTTTCCATCCCCAAATACTCGCTGAGCTCTTGTCATGTGTCAGGAGCTGAGGTAGAGCTACTATCACCATGCCTCACCTCAGAGAGAAGGAAACTCAAGTGAAGTCATTGGTTTTACATTACACAGTCCATGAAGGGCAGAGTTACAATATAAACTCCTGCTTGGAGACTCTCAAGCACTTGCTGTTAAATACTGAGGTTTCATTTGTATGCTTACATTAAATTTGATTACTTCCTTTCTCTTACCCTTAAGTCTAGCTCTAAGGTGTGAGAATACACACACACACACAGACACACACACGCCATAAGGAATTTTTCAAGACCAGCTTCTCTATTACCTTTATCAAAGAACTTGTCAGTATTATCTAGTATCTCTACCATATTTTCTAATTTCTAAATGTTCTTCACAGTATCATGTTTTCAGTTTAATTGAGGGCATTTTTTCCTCCTTCAGCTATCATATAGTTCAGTTTCTTCATCAGATAATGTAATTCTTCTCCCTCTATCCTCTTCTTCATGGAATCAACATTATTAAGTATTCCTTTTCAAATTCTAATATCCTTATTAGGTTAGAAACCAGTTTTCACTGTTAAATGGTAGAGGTCAAAGAAATCAAGGTTTTTATACAGGTGAGATTTGTTATTTACATTTTAAGAAACAATGCTGTATTTCATAAATACTTTTGATAAAATGGGCTGATTGAATTTCATAATATTCTATTTGGGCTCAAATAATAGTAACTTGGTTCACCAGGTTGGTAATTTAAGAAAATGAATGCTAACAAGGTAAACAAGATTCTGAACTAACAGAACTCTTTCCAGTCTTCATTTCTAATGAAATATTCCCAAAAGAATGTTCTGCTTAAAAAAAAAAAAAAAAAAAAAAGGAGCAGGTGCAAAATTAATCAAGAATATATTTGTTCTTACAGTGTGTTTTGGTTTTATCAATAAGTCAACTTCACTTCCAAAGTGTAACATTTGCTCTCCACGATGTAGAGGATAAATTTTCTATCAATATCAAATGATGATAGAAATTTTCAGTTTAGAGAAAGGATAGTTTCACAAGGCTTAGTTGTGCAAGAAAATATATAGCCAAGAAAATGCTAGCAAAGATTTAACTGGCTACAGTGACTGTCATTTTTTACATTCGAGAACAGGACCAGGGAGTTTTACTGAGAGTATAGTCTCAGTGTTCAGTTTCTAACACAACGTGGGATTTTCTTAAGCGGTTTTTATGTAGTTTAAACAACAAAAAACAGCTACATCTACTTAGTATTCTTACTAAATACTAAACATCTTTAAATATCAAACATGTTTCCTAACAATAACAGACCCAGGAAAATTCACTCACCCTTAAGTTTCTGGAGGTCCTCCTTCAAATCAGGTCCTGCGAGCATGAAGATACTCTCTGACACAGGGTTCTTATCTGTAAGACTTTCATTGCTGGTATTCACAATGGCTGTGCAGTTCAGTAATGCCACATCTCCTTTCCTGAGGAAAGGATAAACAAATAAAGAACAAGTGTGGGAAAGAGGGAGATAAGAAAGCTAACTGCTAACTATTTCAAAACATTCTATCCTTACCCCCTTCACAACGCTGGTTTTGCTAGCTCACAAGTTTAAGCAATAGTAGAAAGTAGTTCTAGACTCAGGAAGTCTAATCTGGCATCTCAGACAGACCTTCAATGCAAATGCTACGAAGCTGCAAACCACAGCCCCATCATGTTCTTTGCTTCTTCCACGGCGCTTTCATTGTATGCTTACGTTGGTTTCCAAAGTTTACCACAGCAGCATTATTCATAATGGCCAAAAAGTGGAAACAACCCAAATGTCTATCAAGTGATGAACTGATAAAAGGCACAGGTATAGCCATACAATGGAATATTGTTTGGCCATAGAAAGGAATGAAGTACTGATCTCCACTACAACATGGATGAATCTTTAAATCGTTATACTAAGTCACGACTGACTCCATTTACATGAAATGTCCCCCAGTATATAAATCTATACAGAGAAAGTAGATTAGTGACTGGCTGCAGCTAAGAGGTGGGGAAACAGGGAATGACTGCTAATGGGTATAGGACTTCGGAGTGATGAAAATGTTCCAAAATTGACTGTGGTAACGGTTATACAACTTTGTGAATACACTAAAAACCAATGACTTACACAATTTAAACTGCTAAACTATATATGTGAATTACATCTCAATAAAGCTTTTTTAAAAAAGAAAGGTACAACTACTAAAAGATGCAACAACATAAATGAACTTCCAAATGCTGAACGAAGGTGGCCAGATGGAAAAAGAGTATGTGATTCCATTTGCATAAAACTTTGGAAAACGCAAATTAAAAGATACTTTTGGGAGTGATAAATACATTAACTGGGCTGTGGCGATCAGAGTGGGCGAGCAGGCTCATGGCTACACACACGTCAAAGTGCACCAAACTGTACACTTTAAAAATATGCAGTTTATTGTAGGTCAATTATACCTCAATAAAACTGTGTAAGTATATTCAAAGTAACACATTAACAGTGCTAGGGCTCCCAAAAAAGTTTAGAAGAAATTATGAGAATAAAAGAGTTCAGAAGAAACAATGAGAAAAAAATCATTTAGAAGAAATTATAAGAGTATGCATCGTATGATATGATTTAGTCAAAGAATTACCAAAGAATCACTTTCGCACTGATGTCCTTATTATAAGGAAAAGGTGATCTAACAGTATCTTCCTGCAGTGTTTCAGCTGCAGTATCGCAAGTATTTAATTCATCTTCACATGAGTCGCCCCAGCTTGGTAGTGTGTCCACATCCACAAACTGGGAAGGTGCACCCAAGGGATCCATGGAATGGGAACTTCAGCCGGTCTCTCCCCAAATTTCTCAGCAATTCAATATTCACTGGAGACTTTAGCTTAAAAGAAAAGAACTGTTTTAATAGAAGCATACATACTACTTTACTTCTATTAGATCAAGAAACAAATCTCTACTGTGAAATGCTCTAAGAGTACATTGTGTGATTAGTTGCTTAAACACTCCATAAAAAGCAATATACAACAAAGAACCGCTATAGTTTCTCTAAAGAAGAAGAAAGGGGGATTATTTAAGCACAACTTCTTTTCAAAGAATTATAGTCATTAAAACAATCACATGACCCACCGGTTCTGCTTTCTAGAAACACAGGACAATTCATTCAACATTCACTGAGTGTCTGCTGTTGGGGGTGGGGGGAGGGTGCTAGGTGCTGCAAGAGATATAAATACAAGGGACAGTTTAAAGAATTCAGTGGAATGATATTATGGAGATCTTTGACTCAATGATAGCCGAGTAAGACAAAATAAAAAGCAGGGAGGTTCCTGCAATCAAGTATAAAAGTTTGAACTTGGTAGAGAATCAAATGGAGAAGGCATGGATTTGAGAGGCAGTTTACAGAGGAGGGATTAACAGGACTGGACAATTTACAAGATATGGCATGAGACACTCATGTGGTAGGAAGACAGTTGTACAGAAATGGAGAAATTAGAAGAGGGTGATAGGAAGACACACGATATGAAGTACAACAGAGAGGCCATGGGAAATTTAGCACGAGTAGAGGATATCCAATTTGCCAAGAAGCCAGACAACTGTTGTAAGCAGGTAAGGAGTGGTAGGTGACTGAGGTTGGTGACAGATGGAAAGACTGGATGATGCAGTTTGTAAGCCCTGATGAGAAGGTTTGGTCTTATTGTAAATAAGAGGGGAAGCTGTTAGAGGATCTTGATAGAGGTAATGACTTAACATAAATAACACTTGGTAAGATTACTCTAGCTACCATGAAATCGAGTGGGGATGAGAGTAAAACTGGAGACCAGTAGAAAATGGCTGCAGGGATCTAGGTGAGATAATGACGAAGGTGGTGAGAAATGATTGGATTTGGAATGTATTTTGAAGGTAGAGTCAACAAGACTTGGTAAATGAATGTGAAGGATGAGGGAAAAGAAGGAATCAAAGGTAATTCCTAGATTTCTTGCTTGAGCAACTGAGTATATGCTAACACTATTTACGGAGAAGAGGAAGGCTGGAGTAGCGTGTGCAGGGGAGTGATAATCAAGGTCGTTTTTGCATGTGTTAGGTTTGAGCTGCTCCTCATATGGTCAAGTATTGGTGTCAGACATGCAATTGGCTGTAAGAGGCTAGAGCTCAGAGGAAAAGTTGGGCTACAGATATAAATCTCGGAGACTCAGCGTGTGGGTGGTATTTAAGGTTATGAGAATTGAACATGATGAGCAAAAGAGACCATACAGATGGAAAAAGAGATCCTAAGGCAAAGCTTACAGGTTGGAAAGAGAACAAGTAAAAAAAAAAAAAAAAAAAGATAAAGAGGATTAACAGCACAGGGAGGAACACCAGCAAAGTATGGTCGCCCACAAGCCAAGTGAAGAAAGTGTGTTAAGGAGTACCTGAGAAGGATCAGCTAGGGTGAATGCTACTGAAATGCCGAGTAACAGGACCGAGAACTGATTAGTGCGTCTGGTAAGTTGGAGGTCACTGTTAACGCGGAGCAGGTAGATGATCAGGGAATGAAAGCTGGGGTGGGAACTTGTTAGAGAAGTGTTCTGTGTGACCCTTAACGTCTGTTGTTAGAGGAGAACAAACACGCCTTTCTTCATCTAATTTCTTGGTGTTTCTTGCTGAGAAATGTGAGCTGCTAAGTGGAACGAACCATGGATCAGACACAATATGTTAACTCTGTGCCAGCACTGTGGCGCAGGAGGTGTGAGCATTTATGTAACAATTTCAGAAAGGCCTTATGGATTATACCATGATAAAACTATGTAAGAAGATTATCCTTATTTGATACAAAATACTCCTTTGAAATTATTTTGAAATAAAGAACCTAATTTTATCAGAAGTTGGTGTTTAATCCATCCAATTGGCCTTTGAAACTGGAGGCAACCACGGGATCTGTTAACAAGTATGCAAACCTGAGCCAGACAAGCTGAAGAGAAGACAAATAGAGAATTTATTTTCCACAGCTGAACTGCCTGAAAGCTCCATGGAATGGCACTTTGCAGAAATTCAAACTTTAAAAAAAATTATTCACAGATTTCTGAGGACAATGACTCATGCCAAAACTTAACTGAAATATAAAAAAGTCCACTGAACACAGAGTTAGTGTTCATTTTGCAAACCCAAATGCCAGCTTTCAAAACAAAATTACTTCTTTAAAATAACTTTTATAACTCTAATATCCACTTATAAAACATTTGGGGGGGAAAAGTAATGGGAAAAACTCTCCAATTTTTATGTAGTTCCTATCTTTGTCTATAATAGGAGAAATCATAATGTATGTACAATCCGGAATCTGGCTTCTTCAATGTTTTAAGGTAAATACTTCCACGTGCAATTACACTGTGAGGGAGAGGCAGGTGGTACAATGTAAGAGCTTGGGCTCTGTTATCAGCAGGCCTGAGGTTAGGTCTAGGACAGACAGCTGGGTCATTCTTAACTGCAAGCCAGGGTTTCCTTATTTCAAAAGTAACAGTAATCCACTTACAGGTTTATTGTGAGGATTAAATGGTATAATCTGGCACAAAGCAGGGTATGATGAAAGTTACCTGTTACAACTTTCTCAGAGCTAATGTGAAAGTCACCTGCACCACTGCTGAGATAAAGTTATGGCTCCATGTGTGGCAAAGACCAAAACACTTGTTGTCAAAGGCAGTACCAAATAAACCCAGCAAACTGCTGAATTAAGTTACACTTACTGGGGCGCCTGGGTGGCTCAGTCGGGTAAGTGTCTGACTTCAGCTCAGGTCATGGTCTTGTGGTCTGTGGGTTTGAGCCCCATGTCAGGCTCTGTGCTGACAGCTCAGAGCCTGGAGCCAGTTTTGGACTCTCTGTCTCCCTTTCTCTCTATCCCTCCCCCAGTCTCATTCTCTCTTTCAAAAGCAAATAAACATTAATTTTTAAAAAAGATACACTTATTTATCTCAATGTCTGCCTTTGTAAAACCTAGATCAACCCAACATCTGTCTTCTCTAATTCTACTCTTATGCTATTAGAAAACAAAAAACAGTCAGTATCCTGTCTGCTGCCAAGACAAATGCATGTTTTCTAAGGTCAGACAGGCCCTCCATTAACACTGTTAGGAAATATAAGGAAACTGTTTTAATAAACCTTGGGTGACTTGATGCTACACCACATACCATCTGCGGTAGACATCCTCCAAGATGTCTTCCTGATATCAATGTCCCTGTACAGCTGCCTCCTATAATGAATAGGGCTGGCGCATATAACCAACCAATAGGATATTGCAGAAATGACAGTATCCTTCAAAGGATGAGTCATAAAAGGTATTGCGCTCTCTCCTGGAGTGCCTGCTCTGGGGAAGTTAGCTCCCATGATGAGGGACACTCAAGAAGTCCATGATAAGGCCCCATGGGAAGTACCTGAGAGTGCCTGCCAACAACCAGCATTGATGCCCAGGCAGGTGAAGGAACCCCCTTGGATTTTCCAGCCTCCATTGGGCTTCAAATGACTTCAGCCCCAGCTGACATCCTGACTGCAACCTCATGAGAAACGCTCATGAACTAGAAATCACACAGCTAAGCTGCTACTGAATTCTGAATTCCTGGCCCATGGTAATTATAAGATAACAGATGCTTATTTGCCTACCATGTCCCAGGCATTCAACTACTTATGCATTGTTAGATGCTGATATTCTACTGGAAGAGGAAGACTCACAGAAGTCACACAAACAGATAATCACAGAAATAAATATACTACATAATTAAAATCTGTGAGAAGTGTTCTGTAAAGAAGAACAAGGTGGAAAGCTAATTCAGATTGGAGAGAATGTCTCTTCTGGGAAGTGACCGTTGAGACCAAAAGTAGACCAGTTTTACAGAGGGAAGGATAAATCTGGGAGCTGCACTTTTAAGCCTACCCAACTGCCTTCAAATAACACATTTTATTCTACTTTCCCAGCTCTCCTCTAAGAGAAAAGGTAATAACTCTCCCTTCACAATAGCTGATCTCTCCTTCCCCTCTGTCCTCCTAGTCTTAAAAAAAAAAAAAAAGTCCTACCCCATTTCTTCTTCAGATACCAACTAAATGCCTCATTCTACCACCTAACTTCACAAGCACAATCAGTTTTGGAGCTCTATTTCTTTTTCTTCCATTTATTCAACCTACTAGAGTTTTGTTGGCACCTCTGGTAACAATGCTAAATTGCTCTTTCAAGGTCTAACGATGACTGCCCAAATATTAAATCCAAGGACTAATCAAATTTTAGTTGCACTAACTATTGATCATTCTTTCCTTGAAACTCTATTATCTTCTTTGACAGTACACTGTTGGGTGGTTGGCTTAAATCTCCAATCACATCTTGTCCATATAATTTGTTAGACCTTCTTCCCAGATCTTAAAAGTCATTATTACCCTTAAGATATTGGGGGCTAAATGAGTAACAAATATGCTTCAGAGCTCTCAAAGTTCAATGGCGTTATATAAAAAGTGTCACGGCATTTAACAAAGGATAAACTCTTTTTCACCTGCATCGCTAAGCAGAAATTGATATTTCTCACCAAAAAGAGATTTAAATCTTGCCTTTTTTCAACACACACATCTTGGCAATAAAGCAAACGGGGCAGCAAAGCCAAGCTAGGCAGGAGAATTTGATCCTTGATACTTAAGGAATATCGGTTCTTAACATTCTTTGGGTCACAAACCCCTTTGAGAATCACATAAAAAAGATGAAAGCCTTTTCATCATCCACAATAGGAGTACATGAGCTCATACAAGCATAGATTTGCAAATAAACGTAAGAAGGTTCCCAGACTCTGATTAAGAATCCCAATGGCAGAGCACAGCGTGCTCAGGTGAGGGAGGAGGGAAAGGCTACAGCAATCTGTAGCTAAAGCCAAATTTTGGTTAACGTTAAGGAGGAGCATAACTTTCCAGTGAATATCAGTTCATCAGTTCTGTACTTTGCACAGGTTCATAAGTAAACACTAAACCTTAGTACAAAGGCTCCTGACGCAAGACACCTATGTCCCAGGATCAAAAAGCCTACATTGGGACAAACAGAAGATTCCAGAATGGATCATATCTATTTCCTTAGCCATACTATCTTCAGGTTATCTTCAATATCATCATGAATGATGAATCCTTTATAATTCAAATGCATAATGAGAAAAAACCACTTGTTTTATTTGTTAAGTCCTCATTTGTTTTTAAACAGATTTGCAGTCTTTCAGTTTAAGAAGTGCTCTAATGTTTTACATGTAATAACTGGATTGGGTAGAGAGATTATATTTTTATTGTTCAAAAGTAGGCAGGATCAGGCAAGGGAGCCTGGATAACTGTCTCAAGATAACCTGGTTTTGGTCTGGATAAAATGAAAATGGTATCATTGAAAAGAGAAAAACAAGAACTTCAAATCTGTTTGCTTATTCCTCAAAATGCTCACATCGTTTAGGGAGGCCTGGATAAAAGTACATAGAGAGCTGGTCCATGCTTTTGACCTCCATTCACCACCTCTCTTTTCACTGTGCAAACACAGTGAGGTAAATGACAAGTTTACCATTCCTCACGCCTCGTATTTCAGGATTTAAAACTTCAGGGCACATTAGATATTTGCGTATACTACCTCCATCCCAACACCAAATCTATCATATTTAAGAATTATTCTCTGTGAATAGAAAGAATAACTTTATTTTAAAGTAACTTAGGTGGAAAAACTACCAAAGGCAATAAGACATGTCAACAATAAATACAGTGTGACAAATATTTCTAAGTGGTATCAATGGCCCACCTCAAGTTTAACATGGTCATTCAAAAACACCCAAAGCACATGTTCCAATGGTGAGTTCATAGTACCAACTTCATATTAAAAAGAATTTTATTTACTTAGGGGCACTTGGATGACATAGTCGGTTTAAGCGTTTGACTTTGGCTAAGACCATGATATCACAGTTTATGAGTTTGAGCCCTGCATTGGGATCTGTACTGACAGCTCGGAGCCTGGAACCTGCTTCAGTTTCTGTGTCTCCCTCTCTGCCCTTCCCCACATGTGGGCGTGCTCTCTTTCTCTCTCAAAAATAAATGAACATTAAAAACTTTTTCAAAAATAAAAAGAACTTTACTGTCTTAATTAGTATTAATACAATTAATACAAATTGAGCAATGTGAAACTTAAATGAGAAGTTATATTCTTCAAATACTGTATGAGAATTTTATAAAATGCATTATCGTGGCACTCAATCACAGTTGCTCTTACACCAACTCTTATTAAAATTATTTTTTCCATATGTGAGTGTCCCTTCCCATATTAAGAGAAATTTTAAGTAAAATCATGACTCATTCAAATATAAAATGAATATGTGTCCACCATTTTATTTAACTCAAAAGCAAACCAGACAGGTGGCAGACTGAAAGGAATCCCAAAATTGAACATATTGATTGGGAATATTGAAATGAACGTACAGGAAGGCAACTTGCACTGAATCTCTGAGAACAGAATCTACATGTCTATGGACAAAAATTATTTACTATTGACATTAGTTACCTAGAGTTTACAGAGTTGTAGATTTCTTGGAATAGCTTTCTACATAGAGTCTAGATTATGCAGTTTTCTACTGAGGCACACATTTTCTCTAATTATAAAATGCACATCACCTATAGATTTAACCATACACACCCACCTGACTGCTCCTTTCCCCAAGAAACTTACCGAAATAATAGTCTGTTGCCACAATTTCCTCCTTTCTCATTCGTCCAACCCACAGTAACCTTGTTTCAAAACACCTACAGTAATACATCTATAGCCTCAATCGCTATCTCAATTTTCTTGAATATAGAAGACTAGCCGCACAGGTGTTAAGAACTCCGGAAACGTCTGTAGATAATCAGATAATCTGGATAAATGTCCCATTTCTGGGTTGACTGCAGATACCTTGTTAAATAAGCAAAGGCAAAGGCTTATTTCCATTGTAGAGCTGTATGTTACCTTTCATTTTCCACAACCACACCCATCAGAGCTCCTTTCTGAACATTTCTATGCAGCCCAGGAACAGAAGCGGACAGAGCAGCAAGACAGGCAAATCCTCACCTGGTGACAAAGCACCTAAACCTCAATTACCACGCAAGGAGGAGTCAGCCCTGGTCACTTCCCCCTCACGCGGTCAGGGAGCGGAAACACAAAGCCAGACCAATGTCACTCCAGGGACTGCGGGGATCCAAACAACTCAGCATCCTGGACTTAGCGCCTATCCAGCCCCGACTCGACCTGCTCCGGGTTTGTGGAACGTTTGTCCACACGCGCGGCAACATACACTTGACAGTGGGGCTGTAACGGGCAGGGGTCCCAGCCGCCCTATCTCACCTGCACCCAGGGCGCGTGCCTCCCCGGGGACTACAGCACCACTGGCCCTGGTGCCCAGGTCTGCCTACCCTGTCTTCTCGCCGATAAGTGGTCCCCGACAGCGCTGCGGGCCAGAAGAGCCCGACCATCCGCTGGGGAAGAAGTGGCACACCCATTCTCCCAGAGAGCGCACAGCCCTAACCCACTCCGTCCGCACCCCCGGCCCCGGCCGAGGCCTCCCGCCTCCCGCCGCGCCCCCGGCCCGCTCCGCCCAGCCGTCCCGCCCCGGCCCGGCTCTAGGTCCCGCCTCTCACCGCACCCCGGCGGTCCCATCCGGGCGGCAGCAGGGCCGGTTAAGCGCCACGCAGAAAGCGGCCGAGCGGCATCCCCAGACACCCCTGGCCACGAGCTCGGCGGTCAGGCGAGGCAAAGTCCCAGGAGGCTGGAGTGACCAGCTGGAAGAGCTTTGAGTGGCGAACGCTGGCTTCCGCTACCGGCCAGCCCCAGCCAACCACAGCCCGGCCCTACGTCATTTCCTCCTCGAAGGCAAAAGGAATGCCGGGCGGAAGTGGGTCTCGGAGCGGACCCGGAAGGGGTGGGTGCTGTGGGCGGATCCAGTAGGCCGGGATCCTCGTGGAGGCCGAGGTGAGGGCAAGTAGGGCCCCGGCGTTCAAACTCTCTCCTCGCGGTCCCGGCTGAGGCCTTCGGGGCACCAACTCCAGGTGAGGCGGGGGCATTTGCGGCCGGTCGCTCGGGTGGGGGGGAGCCTGAGCGGTTGCGAACCTACCGCCGTACCCGAAGGCCACCTGCAGTCTCCCGGGGCCGGCGCCCACACTATGCAGGTGCCGCGCGTCCCGCGGCTCTCCGTAGGATGCTCAGGCAGCATGGTCAGAGCGCGGATCCCCCTCAGTCTGTCCTGACTGAAGACCCGGTTTGGGGACGTTCGACAGATCTGTCACAACGCCCCAACCCTTCAGTGCATCATAGCAGCAACGTATGTTTGGGGGAGCGGGGGTCCGTTTCCAGCTATACCTGGAAACAGGGATTGTAGGGGCGCGGAGGGAGATTAGGTCGTGACCTCCAAAGGCCTAGAGAACTGTGCACGTGAGACACGAACGGCCAGTGCTAAAGTGTATGGAAGATAGTTTAAATATTGAGGCAATAGAAAAAGCTGCGAGAATTGGTCTAGCCTCGAAGGAAGTGGGGCTCAGAGGAGAACACTGGCTTAAAAAAAAGTAGGTAGAGATGGACAATGCACGTTATTCTAGGGAAGAACAATGTGAAGAAAGCAAGGTGGTAGGACAAGGAAGGAAACCAACTAACCCGACAGGAACCCAGTGGCAAAGAGCTGGAACAGAAAGTATCTTACAGCCCTTTGCTTAGTTTCCTTGTCTGTAAAATGGGGTAAGAATAGTAGCGACTTTGTAAGGTTATTGTGAAGACTTTTTCTGTAGGTATATCTACAATATTTTAGACGGCTTTCTAAGTGCTCTACGTAGCTCCACCGTTTTTAATTAACTCAACTGCTATTTGTCATTAAACAACTACATATGTTTACTCAGGTGTACACATTTAACATATCACCATTTGTGATTGCTCTTTAAGTCTTAGATGCTATTACAATATTTTTTATTAATGAGGCAAAGGTTGCGTCAAGGGTTTGAGTCTGAATGGCTGGGAGGGTTGTGTGTCTTAGAAAAAGGGGGAAAAAATGAGGGATTCAGGAAGCAAGGTGGGTTCAGTCTTAACACATGTCCGAGGGGATGCTGCAAGGTGTTTGAATGGGAGTATTTCATAAGTTTCTGGAACTCTGTCATTTATATTCACGTTTAAGGACAGGGCTGGAAATACACATGCAGATGTCCCTGGGCCTTGGCATCCTACATGAAATTTCCAAGGAAAATCCTGTGGAAGGAATTCACAGAGGACCCAAGAATACCAACAGTAACAATTCTAGTTAAGGGGCTGGAGGAATAAGGGGAATTGGGGAAGAACTGATCAAATGGCCTGGGCAACAGCATTATCACATTGTTAATATTCTTTTCTTGATTTTTAACTGGCTTTTGTTCATCTTAGGTGATGAAGAATGAGGCCACTGAAGTGATTACTAAAAGAAAATATTAAACAGCTGACGATTATTTTTCTGTTAAGGTAGGTGAAAACGGAGTGTAATCAGAAACAGGATCTGTAGAGTTAAACCAAACGTAGAAACCAACAACAAAGCCAGCTCCCAAAGAAGAGGTGTAATTTTTTTTTTAATATTTTAATTAAAAATTTCATTTGTCTCCGGGGCACCATCCTCTGGCTCAGGTGTGTCCTGTGTCCCAGGGGAAGACCCTCTGCTTTTCTTGGGCTCTGGTTCTTCTGAGTCTTCCATCTGTTTTATAAAAATGGGAAACTAAAAGCTGAAATAATGTGTCCCAGCCCGAATGACTTAGAAAGCTGTCCTCACGGCCCCCGTAACTTCCATTTAGGACTCTCTTTGGTCAAACCTCTTTGATGGTAGGACACTTACTAGAGTATGTGAAAAACTGACTACAGCTGGGGCGCCTGAGTGGCTCAGTTGGTTAAGCATCGGACTTTGGCTCAGGTCACAATGTCACTGTTCATGAGTTTGAGCCCCGCGTCAGGCTCTGTGCTGATAACTCAGAGCCTGGAGCCTGCTTTGGATTCTGTGTCTCCCTCTCTCTGCCCCTCCCCTGCTCACTCTCTCTCTCCATCAAAATACGTAAACATTAGAAAAATTTAAGTAAAAAATTTTGTGTTTATTTTCAGGAGAGAGAGACAGAGAGAGAGAGAGAGAGAGACAAAGAATCTGAAACAGGCTCCAGGCTCCTAGCTGTCAACACAGAGCCTGACATGGGGCTCAAACCCACGAACCATGAGATCATGACCTGAGCTGAAGTCAGATGCTTAACTGATAGAGCCACTCAGATGCCCCAAGGGGTGTAATTTCTGTTTTGTATTGTGTTTTTTAAGATGCATAGGTGTTTGAGGCAGTTTTCACTCTTCCCGTATCAAGACCGGAGAAGCTTGACTTATCTCCTTCACTCGTATCTTTTATCAATAATCAGTGTTTTAGGTGAATTTGATTTCATATGAGAACTAAGGCATCTTTAAAAACTAATGTGCCATGTTGCTGTATCCTTGTTCTATGCCAAGTGGAAGTAGCTGACCTGATTTGGAAATCAAGGGAGGATCTACACATTCTAGGAGAGTAGTTCTCCAAGTAAGGAACCAGAAAAACCACAACATCCCTTGGAAACTTCTTAGAAAAATCTTGGGTCCCACCTCAGACCTCCTGATTCAGAAACAGGCACTGGGTGGGGCACCTGGGTGGTTCAGTAAGTGTCTGACTTAGGCTCAGGTCATGATCTCAGGGTCCCTGGGTTTGGGCCCTGCATTGGGTTCTGTGCTGACAGCTCAGAGCCTGGAGCCTGCTTTGGATTCTGTGTCTCCTCTCTCTGCCCCTCCCCTGCTCATGCTCGCATGTGTGTGTTTTCTCTCTCTCTCTCTGCCTCAAAAATAAATAATAAAACATTAAAAAAAAAAAAAAAAGAAGAAGTAGGCACTGGGAGGTAAGGTGAACGTGGTTCTCAGCAGTCTGTTTTCATAAGCTCTCACATGATTCAGATATGTACTCGAGTTTGAGAACCGCTATGCTAGAAGATAATGTCCCATGAAGTCAAGGATTTTATGTTACTCAACACCATATCTCTATTTAAAATAGTGCTTCTCTAGGTAGTAGGATTATAGTAATGGTTTACTGTAAATGTCTTCAGACTCTGTCCATCTCAGTATGAAAACTTTGATGGCGTTGAATGAACAGAAGTGAATGATTGAGCTGTCTAGATGCCATATGTCAGTTATTTGTGGCGTGGGCACAATGAGGTTACCAATCTGAAATTTGAGGAAAGAGGGCTTACGTGTGAGTCAGCATCGAATAAAAAATGAAGATGTCCATGTATTTATGTGAATGATTTATTCAGAGTTAATGAAGGTGAGGAAGCCACAACTTAACATGCTTTAACCACATGATAAACAGCTTGGTGTCTGCTAGCCTCACAGAAGCCAGGCACCCAATGAACTGAGTTTCCTTGGTTTGCGTGCACAGCTGCCTTGCTGGTGGTCCCAGACGTCACAACATGGGGCTCACGAAGCAGTACCTACGCTATGTCGCCAGTGCAGTCTTCGGCCTCATTGGCAGCCAAAAAGGTAATATTGTCTTCGTGACGCTTCGCGGTGAAAAAGGACGCTACGTGGCCGTACCAGCCTGTGAACATGTGTTCATCTGGGACTTAAGGAAAGGAGAGAAGGTAAGCCGGAAATCAAGGTTGATAACTGACTTCTAGGATATGAGGATGGGGAGGCAGAAGTGGGAGATTTTTGCCTGTGTGTGCCCCCAGAAGGGAAGTCTTTCTTCTTTGGGTCTAGGTAGCCAAGTATCAGGTTCTATGATGTTCTTCTGCACTAAACTCTGAAAACCATGCCAGATAGGAGTTAATCTCTTAGGTATCTATTTGTGGTATTTCCAGGTAAGTATTTGGTTTTCTCTATCAGTTCTTTATTTTTTAAGTTCTTCTACTTGCCCTCACAACCAGTTATAAAATCTTAGTCATTTAGAGGCACCTGGGTGGCTCAGTCGGTTCAGCATCTGACTTCAGCTTAGCTCATGATCTCACAGTTTGTGGGTTCAAGCCCCATGTCAGGCTCTGTGCTGAAAGCCTGGAGCCTGCTTTGGATTCAGTGTGTGTGTGTGTGTGTGTCTGTCTATCTGTCTCTCTCTGTCTCTCAAAAATGGATAAACTTAAAAAAGAAATCTTAGTCATTTAAGGAGGCCAATGCCTTATCCATTAGGCTACCAGGGCCAGCAAATTCTTAGTCATTTAAAAGGACTGTTACTCAGCTATGTTGACCGAATCTTTCTCACCTGTACACGTGAGGCCCAAGGTTGTCAGACTAGGTTTTGATACTTTGTGTGTGTGACTGAGTTCCCCAAATCTACCACTTCTGGCAAACCAAATTCAGGCATTTTGAACTTGCCCACTTACAATGACTCCCTAGAGGTCAATACTTTAATATTTGTTACTGCCCAGAGTTTCTTGGCACTCTGGGCACTCTAGTGCCACACAGATTGACTTCTTTTAAGGTGGGGCTCAGTTAAAGCAAGGATGTATTTATAACCCTATATGGAAAATCATTTGGTGTTAATACAGGATAAGGATTTAGGAATTTATTGCTTGGGAAATTTTTGCACATTATTATGCTAATGTAGAGCTTTGGAGAAAATAATTTTACCGTTTCTTGAGTGTTTCATTGCCCAGTACAAATAGTAATTCCTGTATTAAAAAGCTGGAGATCAATTGTAGAATTTCATTGTTATTCTTAAGAGTGATCTGGAATTACCAGTGCCCTTAGTTTTATTGTCCCTGATTATTCCCACACTTCACCTTTGATGACGTGCTTAACTCCTGTACATTGTTTATGATTCTTACAATTGCAGATCCTCATCCTTCAGGGGCTTAAACAAGAAGTCACTTGCTTGTGTCCCTCCCCAGATGGGCTACACTTAGCTGTTGGTTATGAGGATGGGTCTATCCGAATCTTCAGTCTCCTGAGCGGGGAAGGAAATGTGACCTTCAATGGACACAAAGCAGCCATCACTTCTCTGAAGTATGATCAGCTTGGGGGCAGGCTGGCGTCTGGCTCCAAGGTGAGACTTTGAATCCGGTGTCCAGATTTTGATCTAATAAAGGACTGTAAGGCTGGTTGTTCACAAAAACTGTTGGGTGAAACAGTGGGTTTTCAGGGTACAAAAACAGTGTAGACGGTGGAAATAGAGGGAGAAGGATGAGTATGAATTGGGAGGTTCGTTTTGTTTCCTGTCACCTTCACTGATAAAAGCCTGTTAAATATAGGAACTAGATGCAGGTGCCCCTGATAATAATTATATAACATCATTGTGTAAGCGCTTCTTAAAACAGCACACTAGGGGAAAAACAGATGGCTTAAGGAGAGACACAATGGTCATTCTTTGCCATTAAGTTCAATAAAACCTGTAGTCATCAGTTTAGAAGATAACAGTGTAAAAGACTGCATTTACAACAGTATGTTAAATAACAGAAGAACACTATGAAACCCTACTGAAGAATGTAACAGAAACTTGAATAGAGATACAAACCATGTTCTTGAATGGGAAGACAAAGATGCTAGTGTTTTCTAGTTAGCTTATATAGTCAACGCAATTTCAATAAATATCTCTCCAGTTTTTATTTTTAAGAACGTGATCAAATATTAAATGCATTATGAAGTCATAATTTAAAATGTGTTAATCTGGCATCAATACAAAAATAGGGAGATTATTGAAGCCAAGTGGGAATCCCAGACTCAAATCCAGTTTCATGTTTCTAATTAGTGTATTTTAAAGATAATGTTTCTGGTGCGTATAAAAATGATGAATTACTTACAGGCAGTTGGCTCGGTATATAGGGGGAAGTTTTAAATTAAAGCTTTACGCCATATGCAAAATGAGTCACAGATTAGAAACTTAAATAGTGAAGAGTGATATTTTAAGTAAACTAGAAGATAAGTACGTTTTTGTCTGATACTAAAGTAGAAGAGGGCTTTAAGTATGTCAGTCAAGGAAGAAATTACAGGGGCGCTTGGGTGGCTCAGTTCATTAAGCATCCGACTTTAGCTCAGATCATGATCTCATGGTTCATGAGTTCAAGGCCCACATCGGACTCTGTGCTGACAGCTCAGAGCCTGGAGCCTGCTTTGGAGTCTGTGTCTCCCTCTCTGCCCCTCCCTTGCTTGTGCTCTGTCTCTCTCTCTCAAAAATAAACATTTAAAAATTTTTTCAAGAAAGAAATTATAAATTGATTTTTCAATATTTAGATTTAAAGCATTTGAACATTAAAAAAAATTAACTTATTGAGGGTAAATTCTGAGTTCTCACAGGGAAGAATTTTTTTTCCTTTTCATTTCTTTTTGTTGAATTTGTATGAGGAGATGGGTGTTAGCCCAACCTGTTGTCATCCTGTACGTGCATCTCAAGTTTATACAGTGATGTATGACTGTTATTTCTCAATGAAACTGGAAAAAAAGTTAAAGGACATTGAAAAAGAAGACATATTTAATATTTTCAGTATAGGGAGGGTTAATAACATTCATCTCATAACAACTTACAAACAAGCCAATAGTAAGCCCTTGAAGAAGATGAAAGCCATGCCTTAGCAGTTCAAGAGAGGTACAGACAGCCAGTAATCACCATAGAGCATGTACAGAATTGCTTGTGAGTATTCAGAAATGCCAACCCGATAAATGCTGAGGCAGCATTTTTAACTTGCGGAGTTGGCAGTGGTTTTTGAGAAACTAATAATATCCAGAACCAAAGGTACGGGAACACTGGCCTTGTCCTTCATATCCCTCATGCACCTACAGATTGGTGCAGTTTAAAGAGATCACCTTGTCACGATGAATTGCAAACTTTAAAAATAGAAAATACCATTTAAAAATAGAAAAACACCATTTAACCCAAGAATTTCCCTTCTAGTGTTTATTCTGATCTGAGGTATATACAAAGATTTTTGTGTAAGAATGTTCATTTTCATATATTTATAAGAGCAGAAGTTTGGGAGCTAACTAAATGGTTAAAACAGAAAAATTTTAAATGGATTATGGTACATTCCTATGATTGATTATTATATGATCATTGAAAATGAGAATAGTCTGGAGGGATGTGGAAAAATGGAAATATTTTCAGTGAAAATGGGGGAGGGTTTATAAAATGTGACCAATAGCATGACCCTAGTTTTCTAAAAATAACCTGGATGTTGGATTGGAACAGTTTAAAACAACAACATACCTGTGTGGTTACATCTGGATGATGGAATTAACTGGTATTTATTCCCTCTGTACTTTTCTGTATGCTTTTCCAGATTTTCTACAAGGAACTATATCACCTTTGTAATAAAAATATTACGTCCTATTGTTTGTCAAGGCCTGATGTGGTAAAGAGAATTCTTCTGTGTTATCTGATCCCTGTAGGACACAGATACTATCGTGTGGGATGTGATCAATGAGAGTGGCCTCTACCGTCTCAAGGGGCACAAGGATGCTGTCACACAAGCCTTGTTTCTACGAGAAAAGAATCTGCTGGTTACTAGGTAAAGAAATAACAGTTCCTTTCTAGTTCTTTTCTAGGTGAATGCATCAGAGCGGGTTTCACAGAGGAAATTTGCCTCATTCCTTCCTCATTTCTCTTCCTCAGACTCATGTGCTAGCTTCCCCTTTTGCCCTCTGCATTCCTCTGTCCTTCCTTCTTCTCCCCAGTGGTGTCAGAGAAGCTAGTTTCTAGCATTTTTTAAGTCCCTTTACTGATTTGTCATTATTGCCCCCTGGTGTTAGCTTTTCCATGTTCCTTAACCTTTGACATGCCCTCTATAGACTGAGCTGTCTGCTTTCTGGATCCCTAGAAAGTCAGGAAAGCAGAATGTGGGGCAGTGGGCAGATGTAAATACCAAGTGCTCGATTTGCCGCTGGCCTTTGGAGAACAGACGTACTCTACGGATCCCTTCAGATCATCTATTAGTTGAACCATTTGAAGTTTCCATTTGTGTAGATCAAACATGACAAGTGCCATTTCACATGGCTCAACCTTGGATAATAAATATTGGTCCTAAGGACTGGCCACCCAGGAAAGTTTGGGATCCTAAGGTTTGCCAGCAGTAGCTAGAACTTTAGTAATGACTCAAGCAGCTGTGAAGGAGCACTGAACACCATACCATTGGTGGGTTAGTTCCTGCGGGATGGCACATTGGTGCGTCTTGTTAGATAACACAGGTTCTGTGAGAGAATGACTAAGGTTCTACTAGAATATACACATTGTAGCTCAGCGAACAGGTGACCCTTGAACAACAGATTTGAATTGGGTGGGTCCACTTACCCGTGGGTTGTTTTTGTTGTTGTTTTTTCATTAAATGTACTTCAAATGTGTTTTCTCTTACGATTTTCTGGATATTTCCTTTTCTCTAGGTTTGTTGTGAGAATGTATATTACATACAAAATAAGTGTTGATCAACTGTTTATGTTCTTGGTCAACAGTAGGCTGTATGTGAGTGGTGTTTTGGGGAAGTCGAAAGTTCAGTGTGTATTTTCGACTACACTGGGGTGAGGGAGCTGGGGCCCCTAACCCCCTCATTGTACAGGGGTCAACGGTTTAAAAAAAAAAAAATAACACAGTGAGGTGGGATCATATAGGAAAGACTTCATAAATTGGGTTGTCTTTTTGTTTTTTTCCAGTTTGGTCATAGAGAATTATGTTGGCTTTATATTAGCGAGGAAGTAGGGAAGAGGCACTTGAGGCAGGAGTAGAGCTCATTGGCAGAGTGGCTCAGAGGCCAGCTAACGAGAAGTTTTGAAAATGCTGCTGGTTGTGATTTTGATTCTATAGAGAACCTTGAGCTAGTGTAAGTTTAAAAGAGTTGTGATCGGGGCGCCTGGGTGGCTTAGTCCGTTAAGCGTCCGACTTTCGCTTAGGTCATGATCTCGCGGTTCGTGGGTTCGAGCCCCGCGTCGGGCTCTGTGCTGACTGCCAGCTCAGAGCCTGGAGCCTGTTTCAGTCTGTGATTCCCTCTCTCTCTGACCCTCCCCTGCTCACACTGTCTCTCTCTCTCCTAGAAATAAATAAAAATATTAAAAAATAAATAAATAAAAAAATAAAAGAGTTGTGATCATCTGACCGTAGTTTATTGCATGTTGTGATGGAACAGGAATGGATAAAGCGACCAGATGAAAAGCTATGAAAATAATTCAGGCAGAAGAACTTAAACTCCGGCAGGTGTACAGAAGTGAATTGGAAGGAGGGAGGGCCTCACAGAGGGGCCGTTTTTCAGACACAGAGGCCAGCTGTACATGGGAGCCAGGGGAGCAGAAGAGATCGAGGTACTTCTGTGTCAGCCAGCAGACAGGAGAAGGTTGATGCTGTCGTGCTGGAAATGATGCCCGGGTCAGCCTCAGTGTGCTATCACTCTGAATTCAAAGTTACTCTTGTGTGTACAGGTGCAACATTGTATTTTCTACCTACTACTAGCCACATGGAGTTAGGGTTCTTCTCTCTTTAAAAAAAAAAAGTGGTGAGGGAGAGAGTAGTGGCATCAGATGTTGTTGCTGTATGTATTTTTTTGAAGGCAATAAATGAGTCCTTGATCTCCTGTTTACTGATTTTTTTATCCTCCTAAAATTTTTCTCGTTTCTTTTTTTTTTTAGTGGGAAAGATACCCTGGTGAAATGGTGGGACCTTGACACCCAGCACTGCTTTAAGACCATGGTTGGCCACCGAACCGAGGTGTGTGGAGGGTCGCGGGCCAGGGAGAGAATGGCAAGGCAGAAGGGAACGATGGTCTCCTCCTCTGCTTTTTTTCCCTGCTCCCAGCAGTCCTTGCGCTGTCCCGAGAGACAGAGAGGCTGGTGCAGTGGAGGATGCCAGCTGTCCGAGCACATGCAGCTGCTTCCGCATTTAAAGTGTAAAAACTTGGGCTTAGATAAATTTTTAATCCACAAATAGGGGTTTCATCACTGTTAAATAATGTGTCCAACTTTATGATTGTAGGGAGGTTTGATGACACTGTACGCACAGTGCCTGGTCTGGTGACATGTACACAGCAAATTGTGGCCGTTATAGGCGTTATCCGAACATAGATATTTTCAGGGAAGAGCAGGGCATGTTTTATATCTTTGCATCCCCCTCTACTCTTTGTCTCTACCAGGCTTTCAAAAACATACCTGGGATTGATGAGGAAAAGCAGATTCTTTGTGGATTCACAACAATATTGTTTAGATATTTGAGGCTGAAAATTACACAGTGGATATCGATGGAGTGCCTTTTATTTGCCAAGGCACTGCTGAAACAGAGAAGTACCAGCCTTAAAATCATCGTTTGAGTGGATTCTAGTTAGGGTTTGTGCTGAATGGCCATTATGTAAATTTAAGGGTAGGAAATTACAGAGAAACTTCTGGCTACTGCATGAACAACAGTTCTACCATGAGCCACTTTTTCTTTCCAAAGGTGAGAATTTCTGTTACCATGTTGAAAAGGTTACCTTAATATTAGGCTTTGCAAATGCCAAAGGGGTGTCACTACAACTGTGTGTATACTTAGACTTTGGGAATGCCGCGTCATAGATCCTGGAATGTCTTAAAAATCCTATTTGATCTTTTTATACCCTGTAGGTGTGGGGGTTGGTTCTGGTGTCCGAAGAAAAGCGACTCATCACTGGGTCCTCCGACAGTGAGCTGAGGGCGTGGGACATAACCTACCTGCAGGAGGTAATTGCTTTTCTGCCTGTGGGCAGTGCTGTGTTTTAGCAGAGTCGGAGGCTCATTGAATTTAGAATCAGATGTAATCATTGGATTCTTCCTATTGTACTAGAAGGAGTTCTATCACCAGTAACTTCTAACTCCTAAACAGATTTTTTTTTCTTCGTTAGTTTAATAACAAACGATGCCATTGCCCTCATTCATTTGAGCTCAGAGAAGGATAGTTTTTAGGTTATACTTTCTGGTAATGCTGATGTTGTACTTTGCAGAGTTCTTAGCATGAAATTCCTGGACGTTTCGGTGTCCGTCGATGGACTTAAGAATATCTCTGACCCTTTCCCCTCAGACAAAAATCTGTGTAAAATTTCTGTGTTTTTTAAGCATATGTATTCTGAGATCAGTAGCTTTCTCGGATCCTCAAAGATTTTGTGTGGGAAAGTTTGTGGACCTCAGATTTAGCTGGAGTTAGGTGTGTGGTGGTGTGTTCAGCAGCTGTTCCACTGGGTCCTACCGTAGTAAGCCAGCCTCTGTCTGTGCTTCATTTAAGGAGAATGCCGTAGGTTGCATTGCCTTTGTTGTTCTCAGAGCCAGAGTTGAACCTTTCCTCCGGAATATGGTAGCTCTTTCACCTAAGAAGGTGTTAAGGTTAATGAGTCAGCCACCATTTTTGTACCTTAGTCTAAGTTACTAAGTTGCTAAACCATAGTCTATATATTTCAGAAAGTTATTGGAGATAAGATAGTGAATGTTTTTATTTGCATTTGCTGTAGTCCATGTTTTTTGTTTTTGTTTTGTTTTTTAATTTTTTTTTTTTTAACGTTTATTTAGTCTTGAGAGACCAAGAGAGACGGAGCGTGAGCAGGGAAAGGGCAGAGAGAGAGGGAGACACACTCCGAAGCAGGTTCCAGGCTCTGAGCTGTTCGCACAGAGTCCAACCCCAGGCTTGAACCCGTGAACCATGAGATCATAACCTGAGACAAAGTCGGACGCTTTACCGACTGAGCCACCCAGGCGCCCCAGCTATAGTCAGTTTTTCACATACTCTAGTAAGTGTCCTACCATCAAAGAGGTTTGACCAAAGAGAGTCCTAAATGGAAGTTACGGGGGCCGTGAGGACAGCTTTCTAAGTCATTCGGGCTGGGACACATTATTTCAGCTTTTAGTTTCCCATTTTTATAAAACAGATGGAAGACTCAGAAGAACCAGAGCCCAAGAAAAGCAGAGGGTCTTCCCCTGGGACACAGGACACACCTGAGCCAGAGGACGGTGCCCCGGAGACGGATGAGACCGCTGAGGACGTAATTCTTTTTGTTTTTTTATCTTCATTCGAGTTGAGTCGTGGGAACAGTGAGAATTGGAAATTTTTTAATTTAAAAATTCTCAGCTCTTGTCATTTTAGAGAATGTCTTTGTCACCCGCATTTCTCAGAACCGTATCTTTTCAGAGGTTTGACAGAACTTGCTTTTAACCTTCTTAACCTTCTCCCTCGCTTCTTTTGTAGCGCATCCTTAGGTGCAGAAAAGCTGGTTCCATCATGCGGGAGGGAAGGGACAGAGTTGTGAACCTGGCCGTGGACAGGACGGGCAGGATTCTAGCTTGTCACGTGAGTACAAGTCGTAGGAGAAAACAACAGGGGCGGGCTCTTCCTTTCAGAGATGGTGCTTGTTTTGTAACCAGTGCAGAGACTGCGTTTCCCCCGGGCGTGCGCTTGTGTAGACTTAACGATCCCTAGCTTGTGTTAGCATGACACGGTCATAGTTACTGTGCTGGTCCTTGCTGCTAGCAAGCATTAAGTGCTTGCTTTCTAAGCAGTTGAAAAGCATTAGCTTCCTCTTTGGTCTTCAGAGCAATGCTGTGATAGGAAGCGGTATTCCCACCTCACACACGAACAAACCAACAATCCCAGAGAGAGGAATTTGTCCCACATAATACAACCAGGAAGCGCAGAAAGAAGGAACATCTTACCGAGAAAAGCTAAATTACAAATTGCCTTTCTTTGGACTCACATCAACTTTCCACCTTTCTAGGGAACTGATTCTGTGCTAGAAGTGTTCTGCATCCTTTCCAAAGCGGAAGTTCAGAAGAAAATGGATAAGAAGATGAAGAAAGCTAGAAAGAAAGCAAAGTGTGTTTTTTAAAAAATATTTACTTCTGATAAAGTATCTGGGGTGGGCCACATAGTACTGATAGAAAAACTTCTTTAAGGAAGTGGTTCCTGTGCTAGCGATTACTGCTGAGCTAGAGAGGGTTTCATGGCGCTCTGGTTGTCCACGTTTTACATTTGTGCTCTTTAGTACAACTTCATAGCTAGCATGTTCCCTGGGTCTTGAGCACACAGCCATCCAGAACTAGAAAAGCTGTCCAGATTTTGTAAAAATAGCTTCTAAGTGATTTAGTTCTCAGATTAGCAGGTGTCTCCAGAGACAGCCCGTCAAGAATGAAGCTGGGTTGCATAATGCTAACCATGGGGGCCGTGAGGAGAAAGACTGTGGAATCCACATTTGGGGGCAAAGTAACCTTGGAATAGGTTTTTTAATAACCACAGTAATCGGTTCCTCAATGGTTGAAATTTAGTAAGGCCCAAAGGAAAAGACACCGGACTTGGCAAATTTTTTGAGACCTGTGGTTTATTTGACCTGGTTGGATTGACAGGTGCAGGTTAGTGGGTCTTCTAAAAAGTTCTGAAGTAAGGAACGTTTGCTAGAAACATTTCATTGGGATAGCTTGAATTACAAAGAGTTGCCCCAGGACATTTTATGAGCCATTGGCCTTCAGGATTCTTGAGGGTACCTCTTAAATGGAATAAAATGTTATATTTATGACGCTGTGTTTGACAAAGCATTTCTGTACACACAGTGTTGTCTAATTCTCACGGGAATCCTGTGGTTAAGGGACTCCCAGGATCACACAGAATTGGACTCAAGTAATAGCAAAGATGCTTCTAGAAAAGTAGTAGCATGAAAGTTTTTTTTCCCCCTAGATTAAATTCTTCCAAAGGGGAGGAGGAAGACCTTGACGTCAATGTCAAAACGACTCTGCAAGATGAAATCCAACGGGTGACTAATATCAAAACTTCTGCCAAAATCAAGTGAGTAAAAATAAGGCACCTGAAGTACTTGAAAGCAGTTTTAGAGTGATATTGTGCTGCAGAGTAGTATTAGCTTTTTCACGCTGTTTGTAAGCAGTCTAGAGGAATTACATATTTAGAGACCATGATCGTGGGATACTGGCCCTCACCATGGGCGAGTTACTCATCATCTTACATTTGTCTTACTAGAATAACCCTTTCTATTTGTTTAGTCTTCTTTCCTGCTGTCATTTAGAAAGAAAGACATATACCCTCTGTGCCAACAGGATTTTAGCTCATGCAAAAAATTATGTATTCAAAAGCAAGATATGTGTTGGATTCAGTATCCGAGCCCAGGTTTCTTTGACTTAAAGCCTGTGCTCAATGACTGTCCAATACTCAGAGCACTTTCTGTAAAATTCTTTAGAGTTGCTCAGATGTCCCTAGATTGAGGACACGGTGAAGCCTTTCTGCTAGGAAACATTAACCTTGTGAGTGAAGACGGTGGCAAGGATGTTTATGAGTTATTTCCTCCTGCAGATCCTTCGACTTGATTCACTTGCCCCAAGGAGAGTTGAAGGCCGTCTTCCTGCTGCAGAACAACTTGGTGGAGTCCTACTCACTGAGCCCGTCCGCGCCTGCTCCTCAGCCGGTGAGGACGAGCAGGATCACCCTCGGGGCTCATCGCAGCGACGTGCGCACTCTGTCTTTCAGCTCGGACAACATTGCTATCCTGTCAGCGGCGGCGGATTCTGTGAAGATTTGGAACAGGTTGGTGAACTGGCGCTCTCCATGGCTGTATCCAGTTGTGTGTTCTTCCCTGTGAATTAGGTTTGCGTATGCTTTTTTTTCTTTTAGTTTATGGTGTGTATTTTGAGAGAGAGAGAGAGCGCCCCACAGAGCTCAGCGTGGGGCTCCATCTCATGAACTGTGAGATCACGACCTAAGCCAAGATCAAGAGTCGGATGCCCAACCGACTGAGCCACCCAGGCACCCCAGACCTGAGTACTCTTCATGGTTGGTTGTTAGCCTCTTCATGCCCTATAGTTCCCTCGGAATCTATCTGGACTGTAGGCATGTGGCGTTGAGAGTAGTTTTCCTTTTAAATTTGGTGCCCAAAATACAAGCTCACTCCATGTGAAGCTTGTCGCTGTACTTGGCTCAAGGAAATGCACAAACGTGCTGCCTACTCCTTCATATAAGTAGGCTCTTGGTGCTGCCCAGTAGTGTGACTGCGGTGTCTCCTCCCCAACTTTCCTAGACGATGCTTCCATACCTGTGTCTCCTCACACCCCAGATGCCTCTAGCACCTCTAAGCTGGTGAGCTTGCTCCCTAGTTCACTGGGAAACGGAATCCTCTAGAACACATTCATGCTCCCAGCACATCTGCCAGCTGGGCTGCATCTACACCCACATAATCCCTCCTGTGACTGTGGTGGTGCTCCTGACCAGAGTCACCCAGGACATGGGCCCGAGGTTCTTCCCCGGCTCCCTGCGAGCACTGGGCCCCCTTCTCCATCTGTGGCGAGCCTGCTCTGCCGGCTCGTTCCCCTCGGCGTACATATGCTCCGCTGTCTCCCGTCTGAGAAGTGACGCCCCGTCTCCTGCTCAGTCTCTCCAGTGCCACTCATCCTTTGCTTTCTTTTCCCCATTCTGTCTTCATCTGTCTCCCGTCAGGCCCTTCCCTGCCGTTTCACCACAGCAGCTTTGTCACCTCATCATTGCGCTTCATGCTTGAGTCCCGTGACCCGAAAGCTTCATGTGGCCCTCTCTCCTTGAATTGATGACTTTTTCCTCTTTGGACATTTGCTTGGTCTCTCATTACTTCCTCTCCCTCTGCTGGCAGTTCTCTGTCTGTGCCGGTCCTTCCCTTTCTGACTTCCAAGCGCTGGAACGAATACTTCAGGGCAGAATGTTTGGACCTTTCCTCTGTCTACAGTCCCTTCACACTGCTTTCTCTATACTCACAACGCATAAATTTTTTCTCTAGCCTCAGCCTCTCCGTCAACACTAGACACTTACTTCTAGGTCAAATGGATGTCTAATTGGGCACGTCGAAGTTTTATGCCCCAAAGCGTGCTTGTGATCTTACTTCTCCAACAGCCTCCCCACCTGCTGCTCATGCAGAAGTCCCCAAATGCTCATGGCCACCCTTCCCTACCCCAGGCCCAGTTCACTTGTGGGCCCTGTCTGCTCTGTGGTCAGGACATAGCCGGCCTCTGACCGCATGTGGTCACCTGTGCTGCCGCAACCAGCTCCATCCTCCATCACCCCGCCCTGGGTTGTGGCAGTAGCTTCCTGATGGTCTCCCTGCCGCGTGCCTCACCCTCTGCGGTCTCTCCACGCAGCCACCAGAGCGCTCACAGGCCTTGCCTCTTCCTCCGCTCCCGTTCTGCTGCCCTAGAGCCCGCTGGCCTGTGTCCTCCCCCAGCACAGCAAGAGCGCACCCCTGTGGTGGCAGCTGTGCTCCTGGTCCTTGTGTCTGGAACCATGGTCCCCTTTACCTACAGGCTTGCTCCCTGTCTTCTCACCAGATCACAGTCCCGCCCTCCTCCTCCCTTCCCCCAGCGTCGTTCCCCTGCGGCACCTGCCAGCACCCGATAGGCCAGCATGGGGTTGCCTCGTTCCTAAGGAATGTCTGGGTTTATGAGGTCCGGGACCTTTTTATAATAGCACGCTGTTATATTTTTTCAGCACCTAGAATAGCGCCTGGCATTCAGTAAGTAATTGAATGCAGTGGCATTTGGTGCATATCTGTTGAATGGACAAATGCTTATGGTACGACAAAATGAATGAACTTTACTTGCAGAGACATTAATTTGATACTTAATTCAACCTATAATCCTCTGGGCGCACTTCTTCCTGGTGGCACATTGGGCTCTGTTGAGACCAGCATAGGCTTCTTCTGCCCTACTGTTCTATAACCTCTGTTCCTTAGGGTTAGGAGGCCCCTACAAAAAAATAAAGTTAGGTGCCATTTAATTTTTTCTCTCTTGACTCTAAATAGGTTTAAGCCAAGCTCTGTATGGCCAGGTGTGTATAGAATGTAGGCGTTGACCTCTAAGATGGGAAGCAGGTTCTCTGAATGGGTGAGTTCTTTATTCCTTCTTTCCCACAGGGCCACACTGCAGTGCATTCGCACCATGACCTGTGAATACGCGCTTTGCTCCTTCTTCGTACCTGGTGACAGGCAGGTGGTCATAGGAACAAAGGTAAACAGACTTCTTGGACTTTGGAGGCTCTTCTCCACAATATTCTTTTTTTTTTTTTTTTAATGTCTTTTATTTATTTTTGAGAGAGCGTGAGCAGGGGAGGGTCAGAGAGAGAGAGGGAGACACAGAATCTGAAGCAGACTCCAGGCTCTGAGCTGTCAGCACAGAGCCTGATGTAGGGCTCGAACCCACGAACCGTGAGATCATGACCTGAGCCCAAGTCGGACACTTAACCAACTGAGCCACCCAGGCACCCCCACGTCTCAAGATACTTAACGTTGTTTGAGAAATCTGGCTGTTTTTGCATATTGGAATGTATTAGAGCTGGATAATAGGCGAAGGTTGGTCGTTGGTTCCCCCTTTTTTTTGAGGGGTTTTCTTTTTGTGTGATTTTTATTTTTAAAAAATCAAACCTTATGAGAAATAAAATCCCAATCATGATCTTGAGATAACTGTCCACGTTTTTGTGATCAGCCTTTTGTGCGTCTCTTTAGGAGCACCTGTGTAGTTGTTTTAAGAAGACTAATGATAAAGTATATGACATGCTTAGTGTCGTGCTTGGCAGATAGAAGCATTCAGTACAGACAGACTGGTCCTCATTCGCAGTTGCTAATCAGATTGGAAGATCAACATGCAGGAATGAGTAGACACAGATGTGGGTTCAGATTCTCCCCCTTTTTAGAACGGGTCATTTCAAGCAAGTCACCAAACCTCTCTTAGTGGGTTTCCTTATCTGTTTAATAGGATGATGACACTTGTTTTCTGACAGTGGCTTTTGCACTAGATGGGCCTGCGTCTGAATACTAGATTTTCCACTTGCTCGCTGTGCAGACGTGGGGCGATTTACTTACTCCCATAAGCCTCGGTTTTCTCACGTAAACTGAGGTCAGTAAGCTGCATCACAGTGTGAGAAGCACTTCGCACAGAGCTGGCTCACGGTGCATAGCTAGTAGCTAGTGGTAGAAGCGCCAGGGGTAAGATGGAATAAGGCTGTGGAATACTTGAAAGTGCGCCTTGCGAGCATCTGTCATCATTAACCCGAAACGAGTGCTGGCGCGTGATGACTGTGCTAGAAAGCCTCTGCATCACAGTGGGGACTGTTGGCCCAGCCAAAAGTGTAAAATAAGCTAGAGAGATTTTAGGGTCCATGTCAGGGAGTGAACGTTAAATTCCAATGAAAAGTTTCTCTCGTTTTTCGCTGATTCTTTCAACAAGCGCCCCTCTGTTGTTTTTGTTAGGCAAGCTTGTTGTGAGTACCTTCCAGGTCCATCTACCTGTGTGACCAAAGTGCAGCCCCCACATCCCAGCCTAGTCTCTGTGGTCATTTAATGTACAGGATCTTATTTAACCCCCGCAGCAGCTTAGAGAGGTTGCTGCTATAAACCCCATTTCGCAGATGAGGTAACAGTCTCTCAGAGGTGAATTCAGCAACAGTCAGCCCTGGGACTCTAGTCCGTCCACCTTATGCTTTCCACAACCCCTCCCCTGTAGAAGCCCATCATAGAGGATGGTTTGCTGCTGTGTGTGTTCCTCGCTTGGCATCGTGACCATGGCATATCCCAGGTTTTTGGGTTTTTTTTTTTTATGTTTTATTTATTTCTGAGAGAGAGAGACAGCATGAGCAGGGGAGGGTCAGAGAGAGAGAGAAGGAGACACAGAACCTGAAACAGGCTCCAGGCCCTGAGCTGTCAGACAGAGCCCAACGCGGGGCTCGAACCCACGAACCTTGAGATCATGACCTGAGCCGAAGTCTCATGACACTTAACCAACTGAGTCCCCCGGGCACCTCTCCCAATTTCTAAACAGGAGGTGTGCCTCGTTGTTTTCTAAGCCTTTGCCACTTGTTTCTAAGTTCACTGCCGTCCCTAGCATGGAGGTCTATTTCCATTTCTCATTGCCGGTGTGCTGGGGGAGAGGAGACCAAAACGAGATGGAGAAATGTCGGTTCAGCCAGTTACCATTTAAAATTGCTTTAACTCGAAAGGTTTTTAGGAGCCTTTGCTGCCGTGTTTCTTCTGATATGCCTCTGGCCTTGCTGTTGCCCTTTGGCGGTCGGAGCACCCGCGAAGGTGCCGGGGCAGGGAGCGAGGCTGCCGGGCCTGCTGCGCCCCGGCGGCCTCCCTCACACCGGGGGCGCTCTGTCCGCAAAGCAGGCAGCCGCGCCTTAGCCGTGGAGGTTGTGGAGGTGCTGGTGGGAGCTGTGCTCGTTTCGTGTTTTCCACAGACGGGAAAGCTGCAGCTTTATGACCTGGCCTCGGGAAACCTGCTGGAGACGATAGACGCACACGATGGAGCTCTGTGGGCCTCGTCTCTCTCTCCAGATCAGGTGACCAAGCCCACCTTGGCTCGGGCCTTCGGCACCCTGGCCGCCTTTGCCGCTGCTTGCGTCGGTGTTCACTACCTTCTGCCGGCGGTTCCTCGGGCCGTCTATAGAGAAAGCCCGCTTTCTGTCTGCTCCGGGGGTTTTCTGCGAGGTGGCCTGTCACGTGCCCACTCATCCAGGTAGCTCTTAGCTCATGAATCTTGTTGGATCAGCAGCTGCAGGACCTCAGGTTACTGAGCCTCAGGGGTTTTTCCAGTGCTGCGTGCTGCTGCCTAAGAGGAAACATTTCCTTGGGCAGCGAAATGCCAGGGATGGAGTAGACTTTTCTGTTGCCCCTTTTAGTCCCGACATCTACGAGTCCAGAAGTCTAGTGTCGATAGCAAACGCATCAGCCCTTTCAAGTCAGGAAGAGGGTGCTTCCCTTGTGAGGAGTCCCCTCGGAGAACGGGATGCCTCTTCTAGTAATGGTGCTGTTGCTCAGAACACTTTGAGATATTTTTTGGCAACACTTTATTAAGAGTTTGTGGCCCGTTCACTTGCATCTTCTCAATAGTGGCAAACCTTCGTCTACCGAAAGTACATGCTGTTTTTGGAGAAAACGGAATCTGGAATTTAGAGCAAGTTATGCCATTTGCTGTCAGAATAAAACAGCATTTAAAATTCATATAGTTATAATATCTTGTATTTGTAGAGGATTCCATCTCTCAAAGTATTTTTTCATTTTTTTAACATGAGAGGGAGAGAGAATGAGAGAACAAGTGGGGAGGGGCAGAGAGAGAGAGAGAGAGAGGGAGACACAGAATCTAAAAGCAGGCTCCAGGCTCTGTGCTCTCAGCACAAAGCCTGACATGGGGCTTGAACTCATGAATCCTGATGGGACCAGAGCTGAAGTTGGATGCTTAACCATTGAGCCCCCTCTCAAAGTATTTTTACATCTATCGTGTCCTTTACTGTTATTTTTACAATGGTTTTACGAGCTAGATAGTCTCATTTCAGCGTCACTAAGGGTCCTTGTGGAGGTTGCTTCCTATGTTACAAATCGCAAGTGGCAGAATCAACAGAGATCTAGTTTTCTGACTCCTTTTCTATATGCTGAACACTACCATGCAATGGGACTGATTTTCTCGATATTAGAAAACAATTCCAAATGCATCTTATGCAGAGACTTTGCAAGAATAAATGTATACCCTTCTGAGTATGCCCTTTGAATGAACTTACATAAATGATCCAGTCTGTGTATATTTGTCAAACCAGTTTATTAAAAGCAAATCCTTCTGACTGGTGCTTTCTTAGGTGGGGCAAAAGACACTGCAATGTTCAGAGTCCTCCTGACGCTGAATGGAAGTACAGCTAGAACTTTCCCCTAGCTGCCATCTGTCTGCATTAGCCCTGCTAGGGGTTTTCAGATGAGGTCTGTGGCTGCCGGGTCTGAAAGAGCAATGAGAAAGGGTCAGGGCAACCGCGTTCTTCTCCCCTGCCGTTAAATACGAGTACGCTTTTATACTCTTGTGATGTCGTCTTGTCAAAGTTTCTGTAACAAAATATTTTCTAACTGCAGTGTCCTTTGATTTTCAGCGTGGCTTTGTGACCGGCGGTGCAGATAAAGCTGTCAAGTTCTGGGATTTTGAGTTGGTGAAAGATGAAAATAGTACCCAGAAGAGGTGAGACCATTTTTAAATCATGTCCTTGTTTTGGAGTGAATATGGAGAACCGCTGAATGGGTTTTTGACATGTGTATTTCCTTTTTTTTTTTTTTTTAATTTTTTAAACGTTATTTTTGAGAGAGACAGAGTGTGAGTGGGGGAGGGCCAGAGAGAGACAGAGAGACACAGAATCCGAAGCAGGCTCCAGGCTCCAAGGTGTCAGCACAGAGCCCGATGTGCAGGGCTCAAACTCACAAACTTCAAGCTCATGACCTGTGCTGAAGTTGGATGCTTAACCGACTGAGCCACCCAGGTGCCCCAACATGTGTATCTCTGTTGTACTCCAGGGAGTTTTTGGAATTTTTGTCTGCCTTTGTAGAGCATTCATGTATTAATTTTTTTATTGATGCTTTCTGTCATGCTAGGCTTTCTGTGAAGCAGACCCGAACCTTGCAGCTAGATGAAGATGTTCTATGTGTCAGTTTTTCTCCCAATCAGAAGCTCTTGGCTGTCTCTCTGCTAGACTGTACTGTGAAAATCTTCTACGTTGACACTTTAAAGGTACAGCAGTTACTCCTGGAAATAGTTTTTGTCTTTGACACTGATCTTGGTTGAATTGAGACTGCAAAGTGGCCTTAGCTGTGCCCAGCAGTGGTAGGTTTCTGAAAACGTATATGTGAGTCCAAACTCTGCAGGTGCACTGGGAAGGCCAGAGTTTTTAAAGAGGCCTTCAGTTCATAAGTTTTGCCTAAAGCAAGTTCTGCTGCACAAGTTCAGAAAGTCCTGTTGTAGCCAGTAGCGGAAAAGCATCTCTAGGTCTCCCCGCCTGTGATTCCACACCTGGCTGCACATCGGGACCATTGGGTTGCATTTAAAACCATAGCTTTCTGGGCCCCGTGCCCAGAGTTGGGAGGACTGGGTCTGGCCCGGGAGCATTGTTGTGAAGCAAGTGCCCAAAGTCTTTTCAGCTGAGAGATGCAGAGAACGTCCCTGTGCTGTGTTGTGACCGAGGCCGTGGGCTGCTGGGGTGCACCCAGCTCTGCTGTGCTGTGGGGCTCCTGGCAGTGCTTCCGGGCTCCGCAGGCTGGACCCCGGTGGGCTGCCTTCGGTGGTCTCTCTGTTCTCGAAGTATAAATATGGAGCAGTCCAGAGCAGCATTTAATATTGTATTTTAAGGTTATATATATATTTTTTAATTTTTTTAATGTTTTATTTATTTCTGAGAGAGAGAGAGAGAGAGAGACAACATGAGCAGGGGAGGGTTAGAGAGAGAGGGAGACACAGGATCTGAAACAGGCTCCAGGCTCTGAGTTAGCTGTCAGCACAGAGCCTGACACGAGGCTCAAACCCTCGAACTGTGAGATCATGACCTGAGTTGAAGTCGGACACTTAACCAACTGAGCCACCCAGGTGCCCCTAAGGTTATATTTTTGATCCACGTGTAACAAACAATGCCTGTATTTTATAGACAGGTGTGAATTATTTGTGTTCTTTTTTTCTTTAACATTTAGTTTTTTCTCTCCCTGTATGGACACAAACTGCCTGTCATATGCATGGACATCTCTCACGTAAGTAAAATTTAAACAGCATCTCAGAAACTAGTTGTCTTTTCTAAAGCACTTTCTTAGTTCTTGGCTTGCTGTCTTCACTTTAGAATATTTTTTCATCCTGTTTATCTTTCACCCAAAAAGGCCATAAAATAGTGTATATTGTAGTCGTGCCTTAAATACGTGTATTGCTTTAGTGCTTTCAGAATATGTTCACAAATGTCTGAATTAATCCTTATAACTAACCCCCTGTTATGGATTTTCCAGAGTACTTTGCTGTCTAAAATATTATAATTGGGAGACAAACCTAAAATATGACTTTAAAAAACGGATCCCCCCTTTGTTCTGAAGGATAGTGCTGGTGAGGAGGATGGAACTTGGCTTCGTATTTGGACATTTACCATATTTTGCACTATCTGTAAACTTTTACACTTACTTTATAAGAGACTTTTAGTCTCTTGACCAGAATCATGTTTTTTGCAATGTCTGGTTATGGCTAAGAATGGCAATAATGTATTTAAAGACACTGTCTGGTCTGTGAAAGGAATCAGCCCCATGCTCTAGCTCTTTGTGATCCTTGTGGTAATAGTGGGTGGGTGTCACACAATCTTTCTGCTGTCCTTGTCATGTTGGCAACCATTTGAACAAGGCCTTGAGATTGGAAAGATAGGAGAAACAGAGATCAGGAACGTGAGATAAAAGGTTGGGTTGCAAACATTCTAGTAGGTTCTTTCCCAGACTCTTCTTTCTTCCTCCCTTCCTCTTCCCCCAAATCCTAGGACAGAGATGAGACATTCTTCTTCCTGTCTGTTTAGCAGAGTAGGTAAATCTATAACTGACCTCAAGGCACCACCCTCTAGCGGTACAAAAGCACTGGAGCCTCAGAGCTCTTGCTCTCACTCAGCAAGCTTTTAAAGGCAATCTTAGATAAAAGCAAAGAAATGGATGCTCTTGATAGAGAGATGAAAGTAATTGTTTGGTATTGATTTTACTATTTCCGGAAGAATTGGCTCAAATGTTCTGGTTAGTGTAGTCATAGGGCTTCTGACAGTCAAGCGGAGTAATGGTTTACGACTTCTCCTCCTTGTAGGACGGAGCTTTAATAGCAACTGGCTCGGCTGACAGGAATGTGAAGATCTGGGGTTTGGACTTCGGGGACTGCCACAAGTCTCTCTTTGCGCACGATGACAGGTAGGCGCAGTCTCTTCATGGACGTCCCTTTGAGTCACCTGTATCATTTCCCTTGAACATCTGTGTCCATTACTTTTGTGTTTTGAGACCATCATCAATTTAAAATTCCAAGATATAAATAATCAGGCATTCTAGAACTAGCTCTTCAAAAATATGTGCATGAGGGGCACCTGGGTGGCTCAGTGGGTTAAGTGTCCAACTTTGGCTCAGGTCATGATCTCACAGTTCATGAGATAGAGCCCCGCCTCAGGCTCTTTGCTGACAGCTCAGAGCCTGGAGCCTGCTTCTGATTATGTGTCTCCCTCTCTCTCTGCCCCTCCTCCACTGATGCTCTCTCTCAAAAATAAATAAATGTTTAAAAAAAAAAAAAAAAAACTGTGGGCTGAGACTCTTCACTAATATGGGATTTGATGACGTTTGCTCACTTCTCCCCTTTTCAGTGTGATGTACCTCCGGTTCGTACCCAAGTCCCACCTCTTCTTCACTGCGGGGAAGGACCGCAAGATTAAGCAGTGGGACGCGGACAAATTCGAGCACATACAGACCCTGGAGGTGAGCGTTTGCTGCCTGCTTCCTTAGTACTGCAGAGCTACTTCTGCGGTGAAGCATGGACCCCCCACTAATGCAGGGCGGGGCTCGGTCAACCAATAAGGTATTCCTTCTCAGGGTGTTTGCTTTTGTTTCTTCTCTCTCCAGGGGCACCACCAGGAAATCTGGTGCTTGGCCGTGAGCCCTAGCGGAGACTATGTTGTGTCATCTTCCCACGACAAATCTCTGAGGCTTTGGGAGAGGACAAGGGAGCCTCTCATTCTTGAGGAAGAAAGGGAGATGGTAAGGACTCAGGCTTGGTTACGGAGGTGTGGGTGGGTATCCAGCACGCTGTCCCAGCCGAAGTGGTCTGTCTAGTGTGGCCACCCCTCAGCCAATGCAAAGTCAGGGACCTCTGCGAGATGTTGCCAATGCCACTGTCACCCAATTCAGCAGCTGCACAGAGACAGAAATGCCCTAGGGGACTGCATTGTGAAAGAAGGAGCCCCTCAGTCTCATTTCTCTCATTCAGAGACCATGCTTTTTCTTCCAGACTAATCTCTTTCTCTCTCTCTCTCTCTCTCTCTCCCCCTCGGCAGCAAAGGGAAGCAGAATATGAGGAGAGTGTGGCCAGAGAAGACCAGCCAGTGGTAAGTAAATCTTTTGGGATGGTGAGCTTGAGCCCTGTAATTATCCTATTCGAGTTCACCTTACCTTCAGGCATTTCTAATGGAATTAGAGTTGGGGTCAGATGCTGAAGTCATCACCAGCTCATGCAGGAAGCGATCGGTGTAGTCCTGTTTGATTTGACTGTGTATCCTGATTTTGAGGGACAAATGACTGACCAAATTTGATATTGCATGATTGTCATTCTGGCTGTTTTTGTTTGTTTAAGGAGGCTTTATAGAATCATAGAACAAAAATAAAAATAAAAAATTTCATTTTTTTTTTTAAGAGACTGCGAGCACATGCTAGCAGGGGAGAAATCAGGCTGGGAGAGAGAGAATGTGAGAATCCCAAGCAGGCTCCACACTTCTTCATGTGGAGCCCAAAAGGGGGCTTAATCCCAGGACCCTGGGATCATGACCTGGAGCCAAAATCGAGAGAGAGCGTCAGACACTCAACTGACTGAGCCATCCCGGCTCCCTTGGGCATTCTCCTTTTTTTTTTGTTTTTTTTTTTTGTTTTAATCTTCATTTATTTTTGAGAAAGAGAGTATAAGCAGGGGAGGGGCAGGCACCAGGCTCTGAGCTGTCAGCACAGAGCCCGACGGAGGGCTCAAACTCAGGAACTGTGAGATCATGACCTGAGCCAAAATTGGACACTTAACCGACTGAGCCACCCAGTCACCCCATGGGCATTCTCTTTAAACTTTTGTAGAATATTCTCATAATAACGAATATAAAGTCCTTGCCAGCATCTGGCACTTAGCAAGAACTCTGTTAACAGTAGTTGGTAACGCCATGTTACCATCATCACAGCGTAGGGATGCCTGTTCTTTTCTGGATTTGTTTATTGGCTGGATCTGTTTATTGTTTTTCTTTTCATATCTATCTAGTTCGAGAGAGAGTGCATACACGTGTGCAAGCAGGGGAGGGGCAGAGAGAGAATCCCAAGCAGGCTTCATGCTGTCAGCCTAGAGCCAGATGTGCGAATTGATCCCATAAACTGCAAGATCACAGCCTGAGGCGAAATCAGGAGTCCCGGATGCTTAACTTACTTAGGTGCCTCTGATTGATTGGTTCTGTAATGCCTGTCAGCAGTCTGTCAAGGATCTCTGTTTCTGGCAGGTTCCAGGAGAGACTCAAGGTGACAACTACTTTACCGGAAAGAAAACTATCGAAACGGTCAAAGCAGTAAGTAGATATGGAATGTAGTGTCTTCATTTTTAAAGAGGATCCCGGCTTTTTAATGGAAGCTTTTATCAACCAGATAGCCCTTCTGTGGCAACAAGTTGATGAAATATACAGGTGGAGATCATAACCTCTGTTGTCCTCCCTTGTAACCGAGGACAGAAGTAGTGCTGAGTCGGTGGTGGTTTGTAGAAAGGAAAGTTCGGTGTCCCCGGTCTCCTGGAAGCGGCACCTGTCACGTGTCTTGGAGCTGCCCCGCTCCACTAGCACACATACACACGGCACCCCTGAATCCAAGACACTGAGTCTCCTCCCTATAAATTGGAAAGAAAAGACAAACCAGAGACGTCTGCAGAGGGCTGTTTGGCACTCTCCTGGCACATGTTTATTACACGGGTTCAAGCTGTCTGGTTGTTCTCTGGTTAGGCCTTCTGGTTGCCGTGTTTGTGGGATGATAGGTGTGTGGTGATAAGTTCTGTCCTTTGTCGCCATCTGTGTAGGCTGAGAGGATCATGGAGGCTGTCGAGCTGTACCGAGAGGAAACTGCAAAAATGAAGGAACACAAAGCCATTTGTAAAGCTGCAGGGAAAGAGGTGAGATGGTCCGTGAGGTCACCCTCTGAGAAACGTGTCTAAATAGAATCCCTGAGACGAAAACCACCACTTTAGGATTTCTTGACTCAGATCCGGAAATGAGATCAATGTAGTCTTTCCCATTTCAGATATTAGAAAGTGGGAGCTGAGGGGCCTAGGAGGAGGGAAGCTTGGTTTTGACGGAAAGTGAAGGAGAGGGAATTCTAGACTGAAGTGATCACTGTACTGGGTAGAAACTCAGGCTCCTGTTTTGGTTTCAGAGGCACTGTGACCGGTCCAGGCTTCTACAAAAAACATTGCCCGGACTCATTCATAGGCACTATTGAAACTAAAAGGCCTGGTCAATTCTTATATCCTTTCAGTTAGTCGGGTTTCCATTTTCAAAACTGTACAGTACGATCGTCGTCCTGCCTGTGACAGGCACCACCCAGGTCTTGTTTTTAATGACGTGATTTAATAATTTCTTCATAGGTTCCTCTTCCCATCAACCCCATCCTGATGGCCTATGGCAACATCTCTGTGAGTAGGTCTAACAGCTTCCCCTTGGTTCCTCAGAAGTTACCCTCAGGGACAAGAGAGGCAGAGTAGGAAGTAAAGAGCCATGATTTTTTTTTTTTAATGCTATTTTGAGAGAAAGAGGAGTGTAAGTAGGGGAGGGGCAGAGAGAGAGAGAGGACCCCAAGCAGGCTCCTTACTGTCAGCACAGAGCCCAATGCAGGCCTCGATCCCAGGGTCTGTGAGATCATGACCTGAGCCAAAATGAAGAGCTGGACACTTATCTGACTGAGCCACCCAGACGCCTCTGAAGAGGCACGATTTGAGGCTGGATGTATTGGGAAATATTTTACCATTAAAACTTTCTTTTTTTCTCCATGGTATTGAGTATTTCAAAAGGACCATTTTAGTGTAACTTCCAAGTCTTCCTTTTTTGGTTGGACTGGATGGCATTCTCATATTTTCTAGTGCTTATTTATGTCCAGTTTCCAAAGCCCTCTTGAAGATTCTATTCATCTAAATGAACTTGGAAGTTGAGGTTTTCTGGAGGGAAAGCTGGCGCACATCAGTCAGATAGAGGCGGAGAGAGAAGTGGGACAGTGCAGGCACATCGAGCAGTCTGCAGTACGTTCCACGTGTGTGTCCTTCATCACACTCCTCGTGTGAGTCAGGGCGGCCTCATTCTACCGGTGGGAAAGCGGCCCGACTCAGAGAGAAGGTCACACGGTTGGGGCGTGCCGCAGCTGACTGCAAGCCCACATGTGACAGACTCGAGGCCTGCACACACATCGCCCTCTTCGAGCCCTGTCTCATGTGAGGCGGGACCCCTGGTATCAGGAGGTGGAAACAAGGGGGCTTCAGCAGAAACCAGCCCAGAGTATAACTAAGGCAGCTGTGCTTCCTTCATAGCCTTCGGCTTATGTGTTGGAGATCTTTAAAGGGATCAAGTCGAGGTGAGTCCCAGCATTCAGTTATCATTTGTCAGCTAACAGTTACTGGTTGCCTGCGTGACCAGGAGATAAATTATAACTGATGGTTGTTTTCCTTATTGATTGAACTATGTCAGCATTTTGGTGGAAAATAACACATCATAATATTCTTTTTGAGGCAGAACCAAGAGGCTTCTCCTAAAGTATGAAAGGACACGCTTTTAGGGACAAATGGAGGGTAGTGCTACTGCACATTGGGGGTAATGAAGTCCGGTATCATCCGTCACAAGTCCCAACGGGTGACTTTTTCTGATTGTGTACTTCCTATGGCTTATTTTTATTGGAGTCATGCTGCATAGAATTTTGTATCCTGACCTTTTTCACAGATACTCTTCACAAATATATTCGTTGAATTATATTAAAACACTCCATTGCATGGATAATTACCATTGGATTTGCTTTTGATTTTTGCCGTTAGCTGTACTGCTTCTGTGTACACGTTTACGTAGAAATCTTTGTGGTTGTCTTCTAAGATAAGAATCCTAGCATAGCAATAACTCACCAGTGGGCATGAGCTCCGGAAAGGTCTGTGTAGTACTTTCCAGAATGCTCGTAATGATTTCTTACCAGGCTTTGAAAAATTCTTCACCAGTATCAGAGGGAAAAAGTGGTATCGTATTATATTAATTTCTTTCAGTATTAATTAAACTGTTGGCCTTTTGTCTTTTTTCCTGTGAATTTTTACTTTCCCTTTCTTGTACTCTAGTAATTTCTCACTGGTTTTTAAGAATCCTTTGTATTTCTTGTTATATATTTTTAGAATGTTTCTTGTTTGTGATTTACATCTCTGGATTTTATTTATGAGTTTGACCTACCGAAGTTATTTTCATAACAATTTTCAATACCTAAGTCTGTCCCTTACCACAGGAAATAAACAGACCTATCAGAGGATAATGATGAAACTTCACCAGAGAAATGTAAAAGAAAATTTAAATGAATGGAAGTGTTACACATTCCTAGAAGGGAAGATTTTGTGTTCTAAAGATTTAGTTTTCTGTTTTTGTTTAAAAAAAAAAAAAAAAAAAAAACTAATATACAGGTTGGTGGCTCCAGTTGAAGTCCTCTTGAGATTTGGATTTGGAATTGATGAAATGATACTAGAACTAGTTCTAGAAAAGTAAAACAAAACAGAAGAATAGGAAGAGGGAGTTATATTCTCCTGGATTAGGAAGCTATAAAAATAGCAAAAGTAAAATATTACAGGATTATTATCAGGACCAATCAATCATTAAAACCAAGTTGAAAGCCCAGAAAGAGAGTCTTTAATGCAAAGGTTCAATATACGGTAAAAGAAGTATCATATAAAGGCGGAATATTCAACAAAAGACTTTGGAGAAAATAGTTTTCTGGAAAAACAAAGTTAGATTCTCCCTTCATGCCAAGGACCAGAATGCGTCAAATTAGATTTAAAATGTTAAATGTAAAAAACAAGACACAGAAAAGAGGGAACGATCCAGAATGTAAATGAATATTAAATTTAACTTTGCATGGGTAACATCTGTTCAAACATAAAACCATATAAAAATCAGTAGAAGTTTCAAAAATTGAGCATGTTAAGAAATGTGGCATTTTTCATGTTTATTCTCTTGATCTTCAGCGAGCTGGAAGAGTCTCTGCTTGTGCTGCCTTTCTCTTACGTCCCAGACGTCCTGAAGCTCTTTAACGAGTTCATCCAGCTGGGCTCTGATATTGAACTTTTGTGTAGATGCCTCTTCTTTCTGCTCAGGTAACCTCCTCTCCAAAGAGTACTGTGTCGACTCAGCCTAAGCACCCTGGTGCTACTTTAACTGATGGTGTCCACACTTTGGGATCAGGAACTCTGATGTTTGAGACTCAGAGCTGGCATTAGGATTTCACTGCTGGGTGACATAAATGATTTCTTATCCTGTGGAGTCAGTCTTGTCCTTCAACAAGGATACTGGTGGCCCACCACTAAGTAATGAAGTAATGCACTACTCAGGGATGCTTGAGCAGGCAGAGGTCCCCAGGCTGCGGTGGCTCTGCTTCTGGTCTGTTTGCAAAGAGCCCAGTACTGAAGGGCCAATTTGCCTCATTCGTTGTGTCTTTTCAACTGTTTAGTGTAAGCAAAATGACTTGGTTTTGTCCTCCTAACAGCATCGAGTGGAATAGTGCCTTTATTTTCCATGTCTCTCTAGACACAAATGGAAGCGTCAGGGCATATACAGAGGGAAGTAAGAAACAAAGAAAATATGTTTATTAGATTATTGAGTAAGAAGAATTGCTCTTAATGTATAATTGAGAAGAGTTTATTTTCAGGAGTTTAAGAGTATTCTCTTCTTGGATCTACGCCCCCTCAGTCTCTGCTGTTACAGCAGAGAACAGGAATAGAGACAGATTGAACACTCCTCGAAATGCTGTTATGAAGACAAAATACAAACTGATCAGCCAATACTAAATAGTTAAAAAACAAACAGGTATATTTAGAGAATTGGGATATGAATTGACCTATTTTCATGATTCTTATTTCATCAAGATAGTAGCAGTAGAAGAACACGAATATGTTTGTATTAGTCTGTTGCCATATTTATAATTTGAGGCAAGTAATGAGGCCTTAAATTGGCCCTCAATGATGTTGCTAATAATTTCTTACTGCTATGGCATATGTAGTACTGAAATCAGGGTTACTGGTCTTAAGTGAAACACTAGGAATATTCCCAGCGTATCAGAGGGTTGGAGATGGCTAATGTCTCACAGGTAGCTGTGACAGGTCACATATGAGTGTGAGTTACGCATAGAGGAGCGTGAATTCATTGTAGATCATCTTAGTGCCGTAGGTCAGAGTTTGACTCTCTCGGCAGTGACTATCTCCTTTTTTGCTGTGGCCTCCCTAGAATTATTAATAAACCTCTGTTGAGTTAGCATTTCTTAGCATGCTCATTTCTCTTTGAGCTTTCCATAGAATACCATTATCAAAGTCTGCAGCCACGTGGTAGATGGCTGGGAAAAGAGCCAGCTTTGCAAACAAGTTGAATGTATCATAACTTTTAGGATAGTTAACTGTTAACATTGACATCAGATAAAAGTGAGTGGTAGGGAAGAAACATGGTTAGCTATTTTTTTGCTGGAAGCTTTTCTATACTGCCATGATATGGTAAAATTAATCTTTGTCGTTTTTGCTTTGACTTTGTCTATTTGCTTTTCTAGAAAGGATAAGTAGAGCACTACCTCTCTTTGTAACGTGACTGTTTTGTTTTTCTATTAGGATTCACTTTGGGCAGATCACTAGTAACCAAATGCTTGTGCCGGTCATTGAAAAATTAAAGGAAACAACTATTTCAAAAGTCAGCCAAGTCCGGGTAGGTATCCCTGTAGGAATGCAGTAATTAGGGGAAAACCCTGGTGTGTGCTTGGCTTTGAAGTAGCACACTGAGGTGTGCCTGATCTTTGGTGATACTGACCAGACATATATCTGTGTTGAGGTAAGATTTTCATTGGAGATCAGATTTCCATTGTATCAGATAAAGAACAGAGAGAAGAAAACAAAACCAAGACCTTAGACAAGGAGGGACTCATAAAAACACCTGAAGCATTGGTTCCCCAGACTCGCACATGCACTATGATTGAACTCAAGTGAGAGGGAGGTTCATCTCATCTTTCTTCTATCCCTCCCCAGGATGTTATCGGCTTCAATATGGCAGGCCTTGAGTATCTCAAGAGGGAATGCGAGGCAAAAAGTGAAGTTATGTTTTTTGCTGATGCTACCAGCCACTTGGAAGAAAAGAAGAGAAAGAGGAAAAAGCGGGAGAAGCTAATTTTAACATATACTTAAAGCTGAAACACAGTGCCCTTATCTTTTTATTTAAAAGGACTTCTGAACTAAGCGGCAGAATTGGTGTCAACTTAAAAATAACCAAAGAACAGAGCTTGCTGTGTCAGAGAAGATGTCGGGACGTGGTGCCCAGCTTTGCCTCAGGACATCCCAGCGCGAGACTGTGGGCCCCGTGTCTTGGGCTTACGGCTTGATAGTTTACAGTCTTTCTGCCCTCAGAGGTTCAGCCCTGCAGGACGTGTTCCTATTGTACGCCAGCAGGGAACATCGAACTTTCTTTTCTTTTATTAGTTTCACTAGAGCAAAAATGAACCTTTCAAAAGTTTTTCTTGTTTGTGATAACAAAAGATTTGTTGATGTGTTACGCTTTGTATTTATCTCCTACAGAGACCATCAAGTGTGCAATTGACTGCCCTCTCCCCATAAATGCAGAGTCGTGGACTCAGAGTTGGCAAGGACCATTAAAAATTACCTAAAACAGCCTCCTTAAACTCAGCCTCTTGCAGGAAGCTATAACTGTATATAAAAATACCTAATTGCTAATCTTTTCTACCTGTTTCTAATTAAATGTAGTTAAGCTGAGATGTCTTACTGGGCTTTTGGGTGATTAATACCACATACATATGTGCATACACGGTAAGGATATGGGGAGGTGAGACTGTTTTAGGAAAAGAAATGGGCACGTTCCTTTGGGCCTGACTTTTCTTTGTGGGAAGTTTTTAAGGTACTAATTCAACCTTGTTACAGTTCTGTTAAGATTTCTGTGTCTTTTTTTTTTTTTTTTACCTTTTTTTAAGATTTATTTAAATTCTAGTTAGTTAACATACAGTATAATATTAAAGTCACATGTATAGTGATTCAGCACTTCCATACAACATGCAATGCTCATCACAAGGGCACTCCTTAATCCCCATCTCCACCCCCGCCCCCCGACCTCCCTCTGGTAACCTTCACTTTGTTCTCTACAGTTAAGTCTGTTTCTTGGTTTGCTTCTCTTTTTTTCTCAATTTGTTCATTTGTTTTGTTTCTTAAATTCCACATATGAGTGATATTACAGTTGTCTTTCCCTGATTTATTTTTCATGGTGTGATACTGTCTCGCTCCATCCATGTCGTTGCAAATGGCTAGATTTCATTCTGTTTCATGGCTAATATTCCATTGTATATATATACCACATCTTCTTTATCCATTCGTCAACCGATGGACACTTGGGCTGTTTCCATATTGGCTAGTAAAGGTTATATTGCTGTAAACATTGAGGTACATTATCCCTTTGAATTAGTACTTTTGTATTCTTGGGGTAAATGCCTCTTGGTGCAATTGCTGGATCATAGGGTAGTTTATAATTTTAATTTTTTGAGGAACCTCCATACTGTTTTCCAGAGTAGTCACACCAGTTTACATTCCTACCAAGAGTGCAAGAGGGTTCCCCTTTCTCCACATCTTCACCAACACCTATTGTTTCTTGCGTTGTTTTTAGCCATTCTAACAGGTGTGAGGTGATACCTCATTGTAGTTTTGATTTGTATTTCCCTGATGATGAGTGATGTGGAGCGTCTTTTCATGTGTCTGTTGGCCATCTGGATGTTATCTTTGGTAAGGTGTCTATTCATGTCTTCTGCTCATTTTTAAATTGGATTATTTGTTTTTTGTGGGTGTTGAGTAAGTTCTTTATAGATTTTGGATACTAAGCCTTTATCAGATATGTCATTTGCAAATATCTTCTCCCATTCCGTAGGTTTTCTTTTAGTTTTGTTGATTGTGTCAGAAGCTTTGTGTCAGAAACTGCAAAAGATTTTTATTTTGATGAGGTCCCAATAATTTATGTTTACTTTTGTTTCCCTTGCCTCATAAGACCTACTTAGAAAGAAGTTGTTATGCTTGATGTCAAAAAGGTTACTGTCTGTGTGGTTACAGCTCTCACATTAAGTCTTTCATCCATTTTGAATTGATTTTTGTGTTGGGTGTAAGAAAGTGTTCCAGGTTCATTGTTCTGCGTGTTGCTGTCCAGTTCTCCCAGCACCACTTGTTGAAGAGGCTGTCTTTTTCCCATTGGCTATGGCTTCCTGCTTTGTTAAAGATTAATTAATGAATTGTTGTGGGTTCATTTCTGGGTTTCCTATTCTGTTCCATTGATCTACGTGTCTGTTTTTGTGCCGGTACCATACTGCGTGGCTCACTCCAGCTTTGCAGTATAACTTGAAGTCTGGAATTGTGATGCCTCCAGCTTTGCTTTGCTTTTTCAAGATTGCTTGGCTATTCAGGATCTTTTGTGGTTCCATACAAGTTTTTGGATTGTTTGTTCTCGCTCTGTGGAAACTTCTGGTGGAATTTTGATAGAGATTGCATTAAATGTGTAGATTGCTTTGCGTATTTTAACATTATTTGTTCTTCTAACTCATGAGCCTGGAATGTCTTTCCATTACTTTGTGTTCTCTTCAGTTTCTTTTCATCAGTGTTTCATAGTTTTCTGAGTAGAAGTCTTTTTGGTTAGGTTTATTCCTAGGTATCTTTGTTTTTGGTAAATGGGAATGTTTTCTTAATTTCTCTTTCTGCTGCTTCATTATTGTTATATAGAAGTGAAACATGCTGTATGCTAATTTTGTATCTTGTGACTTTATTGAATTCATGTATCTGTTCTAGCAGTTTTTTGGTGCAGTCTTTGGAGTTTTCTACGTATCATGAGTATCATGTTATCTGCAAATAGTGAAAATTTGACTACTTCTTGGCCAATGTGGATGCCTGTTACTTCTTTTTGTTGTCTGATTGCTGAGGCGAGGAGTTCCAGTGCTGTATTAAATAACAATGGTGAGAGTGGACATCCTTGTCTTGTTCCTGACTGTAGACTGTAGAGGAAAAGATCTCACTTTTCCTCACTGAGGATGATATTAGCTGTGGGTTTTTCATATATGGTCTTTATTATGTTGAGGTATGTTCCCTCTAAACCTACTTTCTTGAGGGTTTTTATCATGAATGGATGTTGTACTTTGGCAAATGCTTTATCTGCATCTATTGAGAGGATCATATGGTTCTTTTATTAATGTGGTGCCTCCTGATGATTGATTTGTGAATATTGAACCACTCTTACAGCCCAGGATTAAATCCCACTTTATCATAGTGAATAATTCTTTTAATGTAGTGTTGGATTTGGTTTGCCAGTATTTTATTGAGAATTTTTGCATCCATGTTCATCAGAATGTTGGCCTATAGTTCTCTTTTTTAGTGGAGTCTTTATCTGGATTTGGTATCAGGGTAATGCTGGCATCATAGAATGAATTTAGAAGTTTTCCTTCCTTTTCTATTTTTTGAAACATTTTGAGAAGAAAAGACATTAACTCTTCTTTAAATGTTTCATAGAATTCCCCCGTGAAGCCCTCGACTTTTGTTTGTTGGGAGTTTTATTACTGATCAGTTGCTTCACTGGTTATTGGTATGTTCAAGTTTTCTTTTTGTTTCAGTTTTGGTAGTTTATACGTTTCTTGGAATTTATCCATTTCTCCCAGGTTGTACAATTTGTTGGCATATAATTTTTCATAATATTGTAATTGTATTTCTGTGTTGTTGGTTATTCTCATCTCTGATTTGTGATTTTATTTATTTGAGTCCTTTTTCTTGATAAGTCTGACTAGAGGGTTATCAATTTTATTGATTTTTTTTTTTTTTCCAAAGAATCATCTCCTGGTTTCACCAACCTGTTCTATTGGGTTTTTTTTTAAGTTTCTAAATAAGATCATTTATATTATTTCCCTTCTTCTGCTGGCTTTAGGCTTAATTTGTTGTTCTTTTTCTAGCTCCTTTAGGTGTAAGATTAGGTCATTTATTTGCAGTTTTTCTTGCTTCTTGATATTGGCCTGTATAGCTATAAACTTCCCTCTTGTAACTGCTTTTGCTGCATCCCAAACAAGGGTTTTAGACTGTTGTGTTTTTAATTTCATTTGTTTTGATGTATTTTTTTTTCTTCTTTGATTTCCTGGTTGACCCATTCATTGTTTCGTAGCATATTGTTTAACTTCTGAGTATTTGTGGCCTTTCCAAATTTTTTTCTTGTGGTTGACCTCAAGTTCCGTAGTGTTGGTGGTCTGAAATATGCATCGTATGATCTCAGTCTTTTTTGTGTTTGTTGAGGCCTGTTTTGTGACCTAATATGTGATCTGTTCTGGTGAATGTTCCATGTGCACTTGAAAAGAATGTGTGTTCTGTTGTTTCAGGATGGAATGTTGTGAATCTATCTGTTGGGTCCATCTGGTCAAGTGTGTCATTCAAAGCTATTGTTCCCTTGATTTTCTGTTTATGTGATCTGTCCATTGTTGTAAGTGGAGTATTAAAGTGCCCTTCTATTATGTTATTATGTATAGTTCCTTTACATTTATTAATTGTTTTATATATTTGGGTGCTTCCAAGTTGGATGTATAAATATTTACAGTTGTTATATCATCTTGTTGGTTTGTCCCCTTAATGATTATATACTGCTCTTGTCTCTTTTTAAAATCTTTATTTTAAAGTCTAGTTTGTCCAGTAGAAGTATGCTACTCTGGCTTTGACATTTGGGCATGATAGATATTTCTCCATCCCCTCACTTTCTATCCGTGTGTGTCTTTGGTCTAAAAAGAGTCTTTTGTAGGCAGCATATGGAAGTGTCCCCATGTCTTTTGATTGGAGCGTTTAGTTCATTTACATTCAGAGTAATTATTGATAGACATGTATTTATTGCCACTTTATTATTTTCTCATTTCTGGAGATTTTCTCTGATTATTTCTTCTTTTTGCTTTTGGTGTCTCCTTTCTACTGAGTCCCCTTTAATATTTCTTGCAGTGCTGGTTTAGTGGTCATGAATTTCTTTTCATTTTTGTCTAGAAAACTATCACTCCTTTGATTCTGAATGATCGCCTTGCTGGATAGAGTATTCTTGGCTGCAGATTTTTCCCATGTAGCACTTTGAATATATCATCTCCCTTCTGGCCTGGCAGGTTTCTGTTCAGAAGTCGCCAGCTAGCCTTAGAGGTTTTCCCTTGCAAGTTAGGGACTTCGTTCATCTTGTTGCTTTTAAAATTTTTCTTTATCACTATATTTGCAAGTTTAATTATAATGTGACTTGGTGTCTGTCTGCTTTTGTTGATTTTGAAGGGAGTTCTCTGTGCCTCCTGGATCTGATGTCTGTTTCCTTCCTTCCCCAGATTAGGGTAGTTTTGTTATTGTTCCTTGACATAAATTTTCTGCCCCCTCTTCCTTCTCTTCATCTTCTCAAACTCCTGTAATACGAATATTACTACAATTTGATGGAATCACTGAGTTTCCTAAGTTTATTCTCAAGTTCCATAATTCTTCCTCTTTTCTTTTCAGCTTCATTATTTTCCATTATTTCATCTTCCAGGTCACTAATCCATTCCTTTGCTTCTTCCAGCCTGCTGTTCATTGCACCAAGCCTGTTTCTAATAATTTTTATTGTATTCTTCATTTCTGATTCTTTTTTAACTCTTTAATCTCTGTGGTAAGAATCTCACTGATGCCTTCTATTCATTTCTCAGGCCCAGTGAGTATCCTTATGATTGTTGTTTTAAATTCTCCATCAGGCTGGTCAAATTCT